AAAGGCAAGTTCTTGAATTTTAGGCAAGGAATTCCAAATCTTTGCCTTTCTATAGACAATCGAGTTTTCATAGAGATTTGTTCGACATATCGAGAGGTTGACGACAAAAGGGTGTACTACTGGACTTTCGATATATCTAACGCCATAGCTAGAAACCTTCCATATTCGCTGATGAAGCTTGCCATATACAGTGTCATTCATAAAGTTGGGATCATATGGGAAAAACTTTTAATATTAATTTTTTTTCGAAATTCGAGGAGGAAGAATATATTGAACAATTGAAATACGAATTATAAAAACTGACGAGCTTAATTAAATGCGTCTTCATGAAATTCTTGCAAGGTATAATAAGGCTTTATTGAATAGGAGCTATTTATTAACTGCCTTTCTACACTTGATATGTGTTAGCAATGAACGAATATGTGAAAGCAGGTGATTTAACTTTTTTTGGCATTATATATAGTACATTTTTTTTAATTTATTTCTAGGAATTAGTAGGGGAACCGTACAGTCAACATCGAATGAATGTTCGTGGTATATTTTTTGTGGATCATACATACACTCTCTAGAATGAAGATGCAAGTCAATGTCAGTATTTCCTGTGCTACAAATAAGGGTTGACATGTTTCTCTGGATTTTGCTTTACTAAGGTGTCTCACCCTCCTTTTTTGTAAAATGAACACATAATTCAATACAAAGTGAGAATAATTCCTCCAAAAACAGACTCCATTTCTCAAAATTGGGTCAATCAGGGCAAAAATAGACTGATCTTGCTGAAGTTATCTTCAATTCAGATGAGATGACTCTTACTGCAAAACAACCAGAAGATAATTGTTTGCATACATTTGTAACGTGGGTGTTGAATGAGAGACTGTCATCCATATAGAGTCCTAAAAACTTGATTGATTGAGTACAAATTCTTGAGTTTCCCAAAAATATCATCAAGAGTGCACTTGAACGACAGAATACATGTTTTAGAGATATTTACATTTATAATTTATTCGCATCACAACAATTTTCCTATTTTGATACTTGCTAGGTCATTAATATATATTAAAAATAAGAGTGGTTCGAGTACAGATCCTTGTGGGACCCCACTCTCCACTAATTGAGACTTGGACTTTTCTTTGTTAAGCGAGACTATTCGAGTATGCTCTGATAGGTATGATTGGAACTATTTTAGTTTCATATCTCTGAAGCCATAGAATGCCATGCTCTTTGAAGTCGAGTGTACTAAGTGTACATTCCATCTTGTCGAAATGATTTCGCGCATCACTCAAATGAGGCATGAAGCAGCTATTCCTGGTATTCCTAGATCTCATCAGTGAAATTGATTCGCACCCACATTTCAAATGAATTCAATAAAGATAAAGATGGTAACCATTATGTATTTCATTCTAGATGGCCATGGGCTGACACGCCGGTCTATATTATAATATGGATGGGTTCATCCCGCGAAATTGAAGAATTCTTGGTTTATGGCGACCGCTAATATGCAAAAGATAATATGCCATCGAAAAAAGAAAGATTCGGTGTGTTATGAAATATATGCCCTGTTTCTCTGAACTGAAACATTTTGTGTTCTCAAAGTTGGGGCATTTTCATGGGATGTACTCATCAAAATAGACTCAATAACTAAAAATTGGTATATTTGATTCTCATATGTCCTTCTCTTTGTTTTTCAATCACCCTGTGTCACCAGTGGCGGATCTACGATTTCTGGGGCCCTAAGCTTGATATTTCTTGGGGCCCTTGTGGCCCCTACCCATCATTTTTTCTCCTCCTGTTATTTCTTCTCACCAATTTTCCCATCTAACATTTTCTGACCAAATAGAAGCAAAAAATGCATGATGAAAATATATAGGATATAAGGAACAAAAAAAAGTGCATTCATTGATATGGTTTAGGATATAATAATAAATAAAAAAAATCAGAGCCACATGAAATAAAATGAACGTAACTATAACACTGACTAGGATCAGATACGTTCAAAATAAAAGAACTAAACCGTAACGAAATCATAAATCGAACTGCTCATCAAATCACTTCCGATGGAAAGCATTCCCAAAGTTTGTTATGTTCTCTTCGGAATTAGGTACACAATTTGATTTGATTATTGATAATTTTGAAAATAAACGCTCTCCTCCGCAATTGGTCACTGATGGCAGTGTTGAAAACAAGTTGAATGTAGTATTTTTGCATTGAAAAACACGTCCATCATTCCTTCAGTATATAGGGTCCCGCCGATTTCATAGAAACATTATTACTATTTCCTCAACGGTATACGTTTTCCAGATGAAAAAAAATTGCCATTCCTGAAAAATTGGAATGAAAAAACAGAAAATCATTTTGTTCTTACTGTTGATATTTTATCTAAATCGAAACGGCACATGTTTTTTTTTTTTCAGTTTGCAAAATGCCATATCGAGGAAGTTATTGAACTTTTGTCGGATTTAAGCAACTTTATTTCCCTTAACCGGCCCACTGTCGCTATGAGATCGGCAGGACCCTGCTTATGGTTTTCAACATTTTTGGAATGTTGCCGCTGCTTCTAGGTATATAAAATAAATACCTATTGCTCAAAAGAGAAATTCATTTCAATCAATATTTCATCTATACAAACGAATGATATGGGATTATAGTCATGTAATGCCAGGGCCCCTCGGGGGCCCCTGCAAGGGTCGGGGCCCTAAGCTTGAGCATACTAAGCGTACCGGTAAATCCGCCACTACAGACAATTTTGCACAAGATTAACTGATGAACATTCTTGGTGTTGGATGATTTCTCAATGGAAATTAAATTAGAAGCATGTAGACAAGTTGATTATTTTTGTAAACGTCCTACATTGTTTGACAATGCACAAAAAATTCCCACGAGAATGAAGTCTGCAGACGTTGGGTTAGTTCTCTACGCTGGGTAGAAATTGCCAGAGAATGCAAGAATTGCAAAATTTGCAAAAATTGCATGAAATTGCAAAAAAACAGGTTGGGTTGATTTCTACGTTGGGTTAGCTTACTACGTTGGGTTAGCTGTCTACTCAATCTGGATACATTTTTTTGTTGGCTGGTTTTTCAGAATGTGGGGCTATGGGCAGAAATTTGTGAAGCACCTTTTTTTTCTGGTTCCTACGAAAAAAGATATCCTGTAATGTTCAGAAAAAATTGTGAGAACCAAGGGAAATAAGGTAGGAATTGGTGTTCTTCTTGAATTTCTGGAGGTTATATGCCTTGAGGAACACCTCCCTTGGCAGCGCCTCACTGTTCGTTGGATGAACGAGTCTTTGGAAAGAGATGTTCTGCAGGTCTCCAAAGTGACCACGATGGGGTGCGAAGCCTCAACTCGACGGGTTAATCTCGCGGGGACTGCCGAGGGAGGAACAATTGTTTATATTTCAGAAGAGCATCGTACATGAGAATATCTATAAAATAGAGCCAGATCGACAACTTTTCTACGGTATTCCAGAGAAGTGAGTGGGTTTGGGAGCGAGGCATCACCCACGAGACGAATTGGCCTTTTTTGGACAGTATCCAACAGTTTCAGGGTATGTTTGAGTGCTGCACTCCAAATATGGAAACAGTATTCCAGGACAGGTCATATCTGTGCCTTATAGATCATAAGCAGCTGACTGGAAGTGAAATAGATCCTGGCCCGAAACAGAAAACCAAGTTTTTGGGATGCACTTTTAGCAATTGATCTCACGGGATATTCACAAGAAAGGTTATTGCTGTTAGTAATACCAACTATCGAAATGGAGGTCTTCAAAGGCATGGTTACTCCTGACAAGCTTATGTTGGGCACAGTGAGATCGGCTTTTCTAGAGAAAAGGCATGCTTGTGTTTTGTTTGCATTGAAATCTACCAAGTTATTGGATCCCCATTAGAGAATTGTTGATAAGTCCATATTTATGTTGTCAACATTTCTCCATTGGTATTGGAGCGAAGAGAATGCGGTATGGAAGGTACTATCATCCGCGAAGCTGGTGTACTGGACATGAAGTTGCTTCCAACAAATCGTTCATATGGAGTAAAAATAGGGTTGGTGCTAGAATTGATCCTTGCGGAACACCTGCATTTATGATAAGAGAGTCAGATGAAACTCCGTAGACCACAACATGGAGAGACCTGTTTGAGAGAAAACTAGACTCGATCGAATGCCTTAGAGATGTCAAGTACCACGGATAAGGTTTCATTAAACTTTTCAATAGATTGCTGCCATATATGTGATACGTAAGCGAGCAGGTCACTAGTTGATCTCTGATGACGGAAGCCATATTGCCTATGGTTGATAATACCATATATCATGAGCTCGATATTAATAGCTTTCTCTGCGATCTTTGAAATAATAGATAGCAGTGCTATCGGTATGTGGTTGCTAGGTAGGGTCTTTCTGCCTTTTTTAGGAACTGGTTGTACTCTTGAAATTTTCCAGTTGGACGGGAATATCCCCAATTTGTAAGAGTAGTTGAACAACTTGCAGAGAACAGGTGTTAGTTCGGAAGCAAATTTCTTGAGAACAATCGGTGGGATTTCGTCGGAGCCACAAGCTTTGTTGGTGATGAGACCCAATTAAATCTTCTCTATAGTACGTTAGCGGAAGTTGATCTCGGACATATGACTGTCAATTGGTGATATGTTTGGATGCTGTTTTCCCGATGAATCCAGAGTGGAATTTCTAGCAGATAAATGCGCAAAAATGGTGGCATTCTCCTAGGCAGTTGTGGCTAGTATTCCATCTTCCTTGGTTAGAGGAGGAAACGAGCTGGAAGTGGAGTTTCTTCCTACAGCTTTGGCGAATGGCCAAAATGAACGGGATCCGTTAGGACATTCAACAAATTTTGATCTTACTTTGGCATTATGAGCATCTTTTGAAGATCGAATTGTCTCTAGCCTCGACTGACAGATTAATGTATTAGCGTATAGAAAGTAATCCCAGCTTTTGGCGAAGGGTGTTGTACGAACACTCGAACGTCTTGGTGGGAGGAAATTTTTCCCAATGCACTTGCAATATGCAATCTAGGATGGACACTCGGCCTCTATAAATAAATAATTGTAACCGGATCAAAGAGCATCAGAACATCAAATCGCATCATGAAATTAGTAAGTACCTACCTACTTTACTTAGATTATCTGTTTTATAAGTAGTAAAGGGGTTGCAGTTGGCTGTGAAGTGTTTAAAGTTTGGTGTGAATTCTAGTGTTTTTTTTTTGGTGATGTAAGAGGAGTGAAATTTTGGAGTTTTGACATATTCAAAAGCGTCACATTTCCTATTCGTTGATGCTTTTGAAACATTTTTTGTTTTCCAAATTTTATAATTGAGGGGCACATTTTACATACAGTAGCGTCATTTTTCGGAAGAAATTTTGGAATTGTTTTGTTTATATTTTTGTTCTGTTTTTTTTTCTTTCGAAGCGATTTGAACTCGAAACCAAAATTATTAACTGTGGCATTTTTTCAGATACTTCTTTTTTTTCTTTCAACGCATATTGGGCCCATACTCATTTTTTCAAGTTGATATCTGAAAGGGATTTCTACACGTTCCTCATTTATTGAGTAGAGCTGTACAGGGTGATTGTTTTTATTTTACTCAATAGCTATCTCAGTTATTGATATTGGTCTTACATAAACGTTCAAATATGGAAAAATGAAGTACCAATTTTTTATGACCATTCAGAATCTATTCCTAGAAAATGCAAAAAAGCATCGTAAACCCAAACATTTTAGATAAACTGGTATTTTCAAATGGAACGCCCTGTATTTTATCTCTTTAATCGATAGAGCTCTTCTATCTGATTTCGAATATACAGGGTGATTCAAAATTCGATGTAAAAATTTTAAGGGTATATTGTTGGGATCAAAATAAGTCTTTTTCTTTATATATAAACATATAAAATTCACCCCCTTCAAGTTATAGCCACTGTAAGTTAGGTAAAGAAAAAAGATATTCTTATATTGTGACTAGATAACTGATCAAATCTCCTGAAAATTTGTGGGCTCTTTTCGATGAGAAGTTCGAAACAGTTTGAGATAAATCAAAAAAAATTCTCACAGATACTAAACTTTCCACGCTCTACAGTCTGTCCAAGATAAGGTTGAATAGCATGGGGATCTCGGAAACGGTAGGAGATACGAAGTCGCTTAAATGGGGAAAAAGTTGCGCATTCGGAGGCTCATATCAAGAGCCTTCGAAAATTTTGAAAATTATTTTCAGTTTTTGAGTTATATCGAAAAAAGTGAATTTTTGGAATTTTTTTTTCTCCGTCATTATCAGAGATACAGAAAAACTGAAAATACTTTTCCATAGCAACTTTTGATGACGTTCAACGTGGTGATACCGATTTTTCTATGCGACGTTTCGTATTCGTGGAACCATCATCAACTTTTGTTTTTTAAATACGGTCCTGATAATTTTTTCACAGATTCTGAAAGGTTTTTTTATTCTGAATTCAACCATGTACTAAACAAGGTTATTCGAATGTGTTTTGACCTATTTCTATCCATCATCAATGTTTTTTTGAACTTCCAAAGGAAAAAAGCCATCAGTTCCACTTATTTCTGATCATTTAGTGTCAAACTTAATGGATTAGTTATTCAATACTGGAAAGTGAAAAAAAATTATTTCACTACATCATTCGATCAATGCAGCGTTTAAAAGTGTTGATGAATTCTTGCACGAATTACTTTAACAACTTAACTTTGACAATACCTACAGAGACATTCATAACAAATGTTCAAAATGATAACCATCATTTTCTGAACAAAGATATGCTCTTCTCACAGTTGCTTCTAAGACATTGCTAAGCATTTCTGGGGTTATGCTTCGAAGACCTGTCCCTTGGTTCTACTTCATCATCAAAGTTATTTGCGTGTACAAAGTTCGATATATCCCCTAAGAAAAAATCCAGCTGTGTCAAATCAGGCGACCGCGCCGGCCAAGGGATAAGAACGCACGGACTTCTCTGGAATTACGTACCGGAGCGCCAACTTGTTGAAACCAACAGTTCTGAACTTCCGCAATCGGTAAATCATCCAGAGCTTCCTCAAAATGATTCTCAAGCGAATTTCTATAATTATATAACGTTCGGAAGTCTGTGTTTCATGGTAAATAGGAGGAACAATAATTCGTTTACCAAATATTGCAACCCACATATTAAAGCCGAAACGGTGTTGGTGTCTCGCTGTAATGTATAAATGTTCATTTTCTCGTGAACAATAATGTGTATTTTTTCTATCGAAGCTACCATAATTAGTGACCATGCTTTCATCAGTCCAGATGATTGTTCGAAAGAAATCTGCAAAATTTTGACATTTCCTGGTATACCACTCACAGAATGTTCTGCGCCTTTCGTCATCGCCTGGTTTTAGCGTTTGACATATTCTGAATTTTTATAGACGGAATTTTTGTTTCCGCAAAATGAAATGAGTTGTTGATTGAAACCAGTTGATGAGGTATTAGTGTGTTGACTAATTTTCCTTCAAAATAAGTGGAACTGATGGCATTTTTCTTTGGAATTTCGAAAAAACATTGATGATGGCTGAAAATAAGTCGAAACACACATAAACCACTTTATATAATACATGGTTGAATTCAAAATTAAAAAAAAACTTTCAGAATATGTAAAAAAATTATCAGGACCGTATTTAAAAAACAAAAGTTGATGATGGTTCCACGAATACGAAACGTCGCATAAAAAAATCGGTATCACCACGTTGAACGTCATCAAAAGTTGCTATGAAAAAGTATTCTCAGTTTTGCTGTATCTCTAATAATAACGGAGAAAAAAAATAAAATAAATATTCCAAAAATTCACTTTTTTCGATATAACTCAAAAACTAAAGATGATTTTAAAAATTTTCGAAGGCTCTTGATATGAGCAGAGATTATATGAGTCTCCGAATGCGCAACCTTTTCCCCATTTAACCGACTTCGTATCTCTTACCGTTTTCGAGATCCCCATGCTGTTCAACCTTATCTTGGACAGACTGTATAAGAGGAAATAAATATTATTTTATGAAGAAATTTAGTGGCAGCTGAATCTGGGGATGGTAAAGAAAAAAATCACCCCAATTTTTATATGAGCATTCCTGCATTCCTTTCTGAATTTGTAGCTCAGAATCTAAAAGAATATAGGTCTCTGCGTGAAATAGCTCACCTGTGAGTTTTTGATACGATTCGCCATTTTCGAGTGAAATCGGTTCAGAAGTATCGTAACATTTTCAGTTCGATAATAATATTTGATTGTAATCAAAACAAGAGTGATATGCTCACTGTTTCATCTTATAGAGCGTAAAAAGTTCAGTATCTGTGAGAAATTTTGTTCATTTATCATTTATCTCAAACCGTTTCGAACTTTTCATTATAAACCGATATTTAGACTCGTATTTTCTAGAATCACTCAAACTAATACCATCCAGTGACTCTAGTAAATACGACGCGTTTGAAAGAATATGTTTAAATGAACTTTTTTCATTATATCAACTAGTACAACACACTGTTAAATTTTTTGTATTACAAACCAGACCACCCTGTATATAGATGAAAATGAGGAGGTTTCAAAGAAGTACAGGGTCTCTATAAATGATCGTAAAACATCGTAGTGGCTGTTGACATTTTTTTTTTCATTTGCCGCTTTCTACTGATGCTGTTAACAAAATTTAACGACCAAAAATAGAGGAAGTGATCATATATACAGGATCTTTTTTTATACCGTTTTGCATACACTATGAAAATGTATCTCAAAGAAAGGAGAGTCCAATATTGGAGTTTGAAAAATAATGGAACAAGTCAAAAATATTTATTAAAGAAGTAATAAATAACGGTTTATTCCATTAACCCACATCAAATGTTCAAAATGTTGTCCGCTCTTCGCCGTTTGTTGTTCCTCAGCATTTCCGGGCCAATATTTTGGCAGCAAATGTGTTTCTAGGTTATTATTGTCTCTCTTGAATACTTCGTCTTTCAAATATCCAAAAAGGCTGAGATCCGAAGGCGTCAAATCTGGAGAACGTATATTGGAAAAGAAGGATTAACTCCTCGACTTATCACACGGTTGTCATAAAATTCTTGTGAATATTCTAAATTTGCACGTGTGGTGTGGGCAGTGGCCCCATCTTGCTGAAAATAGCCAACTCGAATTTCTTCATCATCATCAAGTTGATTGATGAATGGTTCTAACATCACTTGTCTGTACCTGTCACCATTGATAGTGCCATCGAAGAAAATCGGTCCATATATTCGCCTACGACAAACTGCTAACCACAACCCAATTTTTTGAGAATGTAGAGAAGTCTCAATGAAATTGTGGGGATTCTCAGATCTCCAAAACCTAAAATTTTGTGAGTTCACGTATCCCAACAATTAAAACCAAGCCTCATCGCTGAAAAATGTTAGGTCCAATAGCTGGTCATCGTTGAGATTATTTTGGAACCATTGGCAGAGTACTCCAGACGACGTGGGATATCTATTGGCAGAAGTTGCTGTAGTACATTGGTCTTGTAAGGGTGCATATGCAATATTTTCTTGAGCACTTTATGGCATGTACTAAGTGGCACACCAGATTGTACAGATAATCTCTTCAATGACGTTTGGGGATTTTGCTCAACACGCGCCCTTAGATTTTCGACAACTTCTTCCGATATTTGGGGCCTTCCTGTGATTTCTTTTTATTAACGTTTCCAGTTTGGATGAATCTGTTGATCACTGTTCTGATGTGGGCTTTCAAAGAAGATTCTTGAAACTGTACATTAGGATATTTCGCCAGGTACTCATCCTTGCATGCAGGCTACTACCAAGTAACTCCATCCACCATTGATGAATGTGCCATTTCGACAATAAGACATTACAATAAATGTATTCTGCTCCAAGGAATAAGCCATCCCTCTTCTCAACACGACAATCACGAAGGAGAAAACAGAATCGTTTGAAAATTTCAACGAAAAACTGACAATTATGAGTTTATCAGCTATGACCATACTGTAATGATTGATGTCAGAAATTAAATTCGAATGTGTGAATCTCCATAAATGAAAGGCGGCAAATGGAGAAAATATTCCAACGGCTACTACGATGTTACGATCATTTATAGAAACCCTTTATAATAAAAAAAAACGTTACAAAAATCTGTCACTATACCGGCCAGTCTATTAACTTAATGTCAAAATCACTAGACAACTCTTGATATTTTTGCTTTTCAGATAATTCTCACCACCTTTGTGGGTATAGCCCTCGGCGCTCGTCTAGACTCATCCTACCTCCCCCCGAGGGTAGGCGGATTCGGTGGAGGTGGAGGTGGATATCCTGGAGGTGGGGCTTTCGGCGGACGTGGGGGTGGATTCGGAGGCGGTGCTGGTGGAGGGTATAGGGGTGGACCACAGATACCGATTTTGAGGTGAGTCAATTCAGGAATTGAAAAAGAGTATTCTCAGATAAATTTATTAACACATAAAAATGGATATACAATATTAAGAAATACATTGAGAATTCGCATTCTCCATGTGATGAAAATATTAATTCTTTCTCGGTTTATTCAACAGAAAACAACTACTTTCCTGGCTATTTGCCACGAACATTAAATTATATCAGCCAAAGTTATCACCAATCAAAATAAGAAGGTAGGTACTGGCATGAAGCCTGTTATGTATTGCAGTTCATTGGTATCAGAATTTGCATTTTTATTCATTATAATCCATCATAATTGAAACAATGTTTGTTTGTCTCTACTGTTTGATATGCATCTTTTAGTGGTTTTTGTTTTGGTTCTTGTTGGATATTTGATTACTTTGAACTTCACGTTTTAGTCTTGCTGTATGTCTTACAGTGACTTTCATTGGGAGGAACTGTTTTGTTATGGTGTTTCTAAGGAATAAATACACACTTTAATAATACAGAAACACTACCCGTTCCTTATGAGAATTGGGTGCTTAGGTTTTCTCTATTTTCCTTCTATCTTGAGGGCTCTATGGGATTCTATGTGAAAAATTCACAGATTTCACAGTTTGATTAAAAATAATAACCAAATCACCAATGGACCCCGCACCGCAAATAGGAGGGAAATTGGCTGTCGGTGAATTTTCTCGAATTTTGGATATATCGTAGAACTCGTGATGCTGATCAACGCTCTAAATTCAATAGTTTGGATTATTTCGAATGGCCATTGTGAAGTTTCCTTTTTGAATATCAAAATCAAATCGACTACGTTTTGTTTGTCCATGTGGCCGGTGAAAATCCACTATAGAGTTCAATGATATCTGTACGTACTCACAATATACAGAGTTGGTCCAAAAATAGCAAATGTTCCAATTATTTCCGAAAAAGTGAGCGGTTGAAATCAATTCATCTTTGGACATTTCGTAGTATACTAATATCAACATCGATTCATGATGATTGCATTTTTTGAATCAGACTACATATTATACACAAGTTGTTCAAGTTTTCATGAAACCGCACCCGTCCTGATATTCATATCCATCGAATGATTGGAATCCCGTAAAACTTGGTGAGGAAGTTGAAAATTTGTGAAGACAATATTTTATGCAAAATTACACAGGATGGTTGTAAAAGTAGTAGTGGAGTTTTCTTGGAGTTGACGTACTCCAGAGCAATTGAGAAACAATAAGACAGAAATCCTGAGTACGTCAACTCCAAGAAAACTCCACTACTACTTTTGACAACCACCCTGTATGATTCAAAAATATCTGCATAAAATATTGTCATCACGAAATATCAACTACCTCACCAAGTTTTACGGGATTCCAATCAATCGATAGATATGAATATCAGGACGGGTGCGGTATCATGGAAACTTGAACATCTTGTGTATAATATGTATTGTCTTGTAGTCTGATTCAAGAAATGTAATCATCATGAATCGATGTTGATATTATTATACTACGAAATGTCTAAAAATGAATTGATTCCTACCGCTTCTTTTTTCAGAAATAATTGGAACATTTGCTGTTTTTGGACCAACTCTGTATATCGTGAGTACGTGCAGATATCATTGAACTCTATAGTGGATTTCCACCGGCCACATGGACAAAATGAACGTAGTCGATTTGATTTTGGTATTCAAAAAGGAAACTTCACAATGGCCATTCGAAATTTCCAAAAAGTCAACTTCAGCAACTTGAATAATCCAAACTATTGAATTCAGAGCGTTGATAATCGGGACACCTGATCAGCATCACGAGTTCTACGATATATCCAAAATTCGAGAGAATTCACCGAAAGCCACCAAATCTGGTGATAAATCACCAACAATGGCAACATTGGCTGACTCCGAGTATATCGGTATGATGTTTGGAGATATAGTATAATATCCAATATCAATTGCAGAATATCCCGCACTGTGCGGCGTCGGCGTGTTTGAAGTTTCCTATGAAGTGACTGCAGGTGCGGCACAAGATACTGCAATTGTTTTTGGATAAACTATATGACATCCCTAATAGCACACAACGTCCTAGGGACGTCCCAATTTGGTACAATTCAAGTCCGAATGTCCCGGACCAAAAATAAGTGTCCTTTGGGACGTTCCATCCCGTACATCTCATGCAATTTCCGAGTAAGGACGTCCACGGAATGTCCCAGCTGGTACATCATTACAAATGTCCTAGAAATAGCCGTAGACGTCCCACGTGGTACATATTGTAGAATGTCCATGCAAGGACGTCCTTGGTATGTCCCTGATGGGATATGATTTTAAACGTTCCTTTAGGGACATCTATCGGATGTCCCGAGTAGTACATATTCTGACTTGACTTCATATCTTATATAATGCGCCTTCTAGACAACCATGAAATGTCCCTGATAGTACATTCCTTCAAATATCTCTGCACAGACGCCCTTAATATTTCCAGGATCGTATAAAAATCGAAATGTCCCTTAGGGACATCCTTCGGATGTCCCAATTGGTACATGAACTGTACTTATCCAATGTCCTAGAAATAACGTCCTATGGACGTCCCAGTCGGTACTTTCAATATGTTGTCCCTGCGAGGACGTTAACTTACACCTCGCCGACGAATGATTGCTCGCAGGCTATAAATACTCCCCATCAATGTCCTTCACGTAACTCGTAAGTCCATTGGACATCCTTGGGAAACTTTATCAGGATCTATTGGGGACCTTCTACGGACCATCAACTCAACTGGATGTTCTCATCAGTTATGCAATATCTGGTCCTAGAGGGGCTCAGAAAAATTCAAATTCAAGAATAATTCGTACGTCCCTGGGACATCTTATGGACATCCAATTGATATCCCTCAGCGTTGCTGAAAGGTTGTCCTCGATAGTTGTCCCAAGGACGTCCCTCAAGGACGTCCCTGAGTGGTCCTCAAGTGGGACATTTGTGCGTCCCACAGACGTCCAATGGACGTCCTATGGACGTCCTGAATGTCCCGACAGGACATCCTGAGGATATCCATGGGACATAATTGTGTTGGGGATATTATGGTGGGCGTGGTTTGTGCTAGCGTGCAGTATATTTACTAAAATTGCTCCCCACCCAGGTACGACAACAACCCGAACCAAGGCGACGGCTCCTACAGCTACCTCTACGAGACGGGCAACGGCATTACCGCCCAAGAGCGCGGCTTCCTGAAGCCCGGCCCGGGGCCCGAGGGCGCCCAACAGGCAGACGGCGGCTTCTCGTACACCGCCCCCGACGGGCAAAGGATCAGTCTGACGTATGTCGCAGACGAGAACGGGTTCAGGCCCCAAGGGGCGCATCTGCCTACGCCGCCTCCCATTCCGGAGGCGATTCTCAGGTGAGGAATGAGACTTGGGAGAGAGATGTATAGAAATTTAACTGGTAAACAATCTGCCAAAGTACGTCTTAAAGGCGTCTTCAAGACGTACATGTCGGGACATAAGTACGTCTTAAAGACGTACATAATACGCCCAAGAGACGTCTTTAAGACGTTTTTAAAACGTACATTTTCCACTAATATATGTACGTCTTTAAGACGTCTTTTTTAGGTGTTCTTGGTCCATGACCTCAAATTGATCTTTCAAATTACGGAAAAATCACATAGTTTCAGTTGATTTTCACCTGTGCACTGAAGTTAGCAACAAGTGCAGACAAGCAAAAAAAAAGGGAAATAAACGACTTCATCAAACGGTAGACACAAGCGGTCACCCATTCAAGTACTAACCGCGCTCTTTGTTGCTTGACTTCGATGATTATACCATACTCACTTCTTCTGTTACTCTGTTTGTTCTATATATCACATAACAAGCTTTTACTTAGTTTAACATGTCCTTGTGTCTGTTTGTAATCAAAACGTGCAAGTTAAATTTGACTCACTTCAAATCGTCCGATTGATTTGAAATTTGGCAAGTAAATATTATTCCGGTGACAATTCGTTGTGATATTATTATTGAATGGAAAAAACAGAATGGCGGATCCAATATGGCGGATGATTTTCTCATTGATTATGTTCCGATTCGAATCAAAATTCAATATTCAAGATGGTGAATCCAATGTGGCATATGGTTTTCTGATTATGGTCTGATCTGATTGAAAATTGGCATCTGAAGGATTTCGGGATCAGAGATTATAATTCCTTTTGTCGAAAATGAAAAATCCAAGAGGTCGGCTTCAAAATGGCGGACGAGTTTTGTGATTATAGTCCGATTTTATTCAAAATTGATTACTATGGGACTTTTGGGGTCGGAGAATATGATTTTTTTGTAAAAACTCGAGAATCTAACACGAATAGGCTCCAAAATGTCGGACGAAAAAATTCAAAAACATCACTTTTGTTGAAAATAAGAAAAAAACTGAACAATTGAAAATAAAAAAACGTGAAGAGATGACATTTTGTTTTTCTTCAGAAAATAACTTACATTATTGTTCTATAAGTTGAATTGACGTACTGGAATGTACGTCTTTAAGACGTCTTTTATACGACGTGGATACGACCTAAAATGTACGTCTTTAAGATGTACATGGATTTACATCTTAAAGATGTCTGGTGCTGATTGGGGTGGGCTCCATATACGTATTAATAATCAATACGGATTATCTCTATCTGTTTCCATAGCTAAACATGAAGCCGATTTTTGAAGACAAATGACTATCCATAAGGAAAAGTGAGATACGATCAGACACATACTGCTTTGATTGAAAGGCTAGTAAACGTCATTGTCCACCGAAACGCATGTCTTTGATGACTACGTATCATGCCACCAAATCCTTATGGATATTCATTTGTTTCATATTTATGTTTGGCTTCATCCTGGCACCCGTTATGATCCGTATTGTTTATTAATACGTATATGGTGGGCTCACTCTTCAATTTTTTCGTCAGACTAACTCTCGATATGGAACAATTGCAAGCGAGTTTTGGACGTGGGGTTCAGGTATTTGCGATAGAGGCGCCATAATCGGAAAATCGTTCAAAACCTTGGTTCTGTGAGGGATGAATCTATTTCCATCATTGTTCTGTGGTCGAATAAATACTGTGCTCAACATTTTCATTAAAATTTCAATTTGAAAAAGAAGCAAGAAATCTTTTTTGTAGCCGATTCTAATAAGCTTCACTTCTTTCATGACATGAACCTATTTAAAGCATGAAATCTGGAGAATTTCCTGAAGAACCAGAACAAAGAATGTATCAACTATTGAAATAGACCAATATCGAAAATCATAATTGGCAGATATGGTAACTGGTACTCACCTTAGAATTTATTCACACCAGTTCACGCTAATATTTCAAAACACTGAAATAATACTGTTGTAGAACAGAGATTTCCTTTTTTCTATGGTGGATTAGTTATTTTACTAAAAAATTCAGAAACTACGGAACACGTCCCTAACGAACACTTGACCCCAATCTCAGCTCAAGAATACTTTTGACATATTGACGTTTCGATCCTTTGATCAGGAACATCAGGAATCAGTTCACTGCTCTGATCCAAATCCTAAACGTATCCAAATATTTATCGGTCGGTAATATGTTTCCTGTAAATATGGATTGTAACCAGGATGAGCTTAGCGAGATTTACCCACGTCAAGTATGTTTATCAAGGGTTTATCAGAGTAGGCGTTTATCGAGAAACTTGCAAACGACCTTCAAAAGGAAGCAAGCGCACCCTTGGGAGATTGCACTTGTAACTGTCTATACAGGGTGGAGACTTTAACTGGAATAAATTCGCTACTGGGGGAGTGAATGATTCTACTGAAAGTTCGTGAGACACGTCAACGTTTAAATGTATTTTTCTACTCACATAACTAAAATGGCATTTATCGTACGGATATATGTACCACGCTAAATGATCGATTAATCACGGATTGTCGATCTGTGATTTATTCCAAATATTAAACACGTTACCATGGCAACACGATTTCTTAAACACATTACCATGGCAACGCAGTTCATTAAACACAGCTTCAGTAATTTGAGACATGTCTGGCCTGTCAATTGTATTGACTGTCAACTGTTATTTTGGAATTTTGTATCAGAAATTATTCAAACAATATTCGTTTGTATCAGAATTCTTCATTAAAAATATATGCGAAAAGTAGACGAAAGTGAAATCGAAGAGAATGTTCTGGTACTTGCATATCTCCAAGAAGTGTAAAAATGAAGCATCCATCTTTGAGAACAATTCATTTATTCTGCGCTAAGCATGACAATAAACGTGAAACAATAAAGGTTAGTAAGTAATGGACTGGACACATCTACAACCAATATCACTTATACGTGTCTCGCTGGTTGCATGCAGTTGCATGTATTATGTTCTCAATTCCCATTCCTTTCGAATTATTTTGTAGGTTAGCAGGAATAGCAGGTATGTCAATGTAATATTCGGAGTTCGTAGAAAAAGCATAGTATGTAACGCGTTTATAAACTCTTCTAGACACTCGTTTATTATTGAACACTCGTTACTAAAAGGACGTTTATAACACTTGTTACATAATATACTATTATCGACCTATTTTGAACTCTAGTTCACCCAGTGGAATTTATTGTACGTTGTTCTGGGACACCCTGTATTATGATAAATCAAAAATGCACTGAAGAACAGAATGATCGGAGAATGTTAATTTAACATTAAGAGAGTGTTGAGCAGTTTAGAATCATATTTATTTTCTGTTTATGGACCACTGGCTTACTTGAGAAAAACAATTCTAAAGCGATTTTTATAGAAAAATCTCGAGAAAAATTGATTATGGCAGTGAGAACAAATCGTTATTGTTATATGAATGAATCATGCGAAATATTAAATATAGTGGATCGAGACAACTAGATTACATACATATATTACAATAGGTGAAAGTTTAAATACCTACATTATAATTTGGATGGTATTCTTGAAAAGAGAGCCTACAGCACAATTTTGAAATGTGTTCCATATCCAATACAAAGAGATGCAACAGAATTAAGTAACTGTAACTGATAGAATAATCGTGTTTCAGATGATTTAGTTTCCCTTTCAAGGTGTTTCTCATTCATTGATCGCATAATAATATGTTTATTGAACAACAACTACACTGTGTTGTTACGTTTATTGACAGCTTAGATTGTATAAATTTTTTTCGTCGAATGAATTTTTGTACGTGAAGTGTAGGTGAAAATGATGAACATTTTGAACAATTTTCATGACATAGATTCATAGATACCTGTTAATCGTTTTAATCACATTTCAATCACATATTAACTATGCTATTATACTATGGGGGAACTCGGAATCCGAGTTTTTCGTCTGCAAAAGCGCGCCATACGACTTATCACGAACTCACCTTATAATACCCCATGTCGAGAACTTTTCATAAAACTCAAGATATTTTCATTTCCATCTTTATACATATTTCAATCTTTCTTAGAGATACACAAAAACTTTGATAGATTTGACAAGTTGAGACCACAAAGATATCGACTAGAAGTATCCGAATGTAATTCTTTGAATTTGAATTTGTTTAACAAATCACCTAAAGATGTGCGCAACCTTGACCTCAAATAAACTACTCAACACTAATTTCGTCGCACACCAAAATGTCGCCCCTGTTATAATGTGAATAACTTTTTTCAGTTTAGAACAATTTGAATTTGGTTCACACTGCGTTCGATAGTCCAGTTCTTCAGCTATAATCTCGTACTTCATTGAAACATGAAGGTATTCACATAAAACTCTACATGGTGTTTTCCGACACTGTGCAAAATTTCGGAATATTCAAAAGGCTCTCAAATGGTGAAAACATTTTTTTTCTCAACTTCGACAACAGAGGCATGAAGATGATCTCATTGCCAGACCGCATAGGGTTGTTGGTACACCATTTATGATGAGCCTTAGCTGGTCGGGTTTGTCAGTCCATTGTGATTCTTGTAACGTTGGTTACGGGCCATGCATTACAGAGGAGAAATGGTCTGATGTTTCTGCAAGAACATATTTCAATTGTGGTTTCTCACGCACATTCTTGACTACTGAGAGCGAGGAAAATATGGACGCATCCAGAATGAATTGTTTTTCCGAGAACACGTTGATTTTCATTCAATTCTCCTCCCAACCGAGATTCGGAGGGCGTTCCAGATTTGGGTCACTTTCAAGAAAACTCTAGATCTTTGATAGTCATCTTGAGTCAATTATGATATTCAGATCTCTTCATCTGAAGTTTTATCTTCAAAATGAGCCTAAGATTTCCAAAATCGGTTGACGTGGAAAAAAGTTATGGCTGCAAAACCAAAAAGTTGATTTTTTGAGATCACTCTGTAAATAAGAGAGATAGGAAGTTGATTCGCGAAATATCTCGAGGTAATGAGATCATCTTCATGCCTTTGTTGTCGAAGTTGAGAAAAAAAATGTTTTCACCATTTGAGAGCCTTTTGAATATTCCGAAATTTTGCACAGTGTCGGAAAACACCATGTAGAGATTTTATGTGAATACCCTTATTATGTCTCAATGAAGTACGAGATTATAGCTGAAGGACTGGGCTATCGAACAGTGTGAACCAAATTCAAATTGTTGTGAACTGAAAAAAGTTATTCACATTATAACAGGGGCGACATTTTGGTGTGCGACGGAATTAGTGCTGAGTAGTTTATTTCAGAGAAGTCATCAATAAGGACCACTTTCTGAGATTATGTTATAACTCTGTTGAGGAATATTTATCTTCACCAGATTCATCATTCTCTCTATGAAAACAACTGAAAAAAAAACATCATTCATACAGCTCATATTTGCTTTGCAATTTACAATTCCAATTCTGTTTTTCTCTCCTTTCGTGAATTGAGGAAGAAAAATAAGTCCTCACGAATTATTGTTTTATATGTGGTACCTACATGTCACTGTTAAGTCTGTTTCATTTGCCAGAAATTTATGTGTATGACTTTATTCTGCATACTTTTAATGTGTTTTTTCTTATCTACTACATTCAATATGTCCTTTGTACCTGACTTGCCAAAAACATAAGATTTGTAAATCGGTGAAATAAATATTCTATTCTATTTTATTCTATTCTAATGCAAACTGATTCTTTGAATAGGGATGTGGACTGATCATGAATTATTGGCATTCAATTACTACACTGAGTCGTAAGGAACCTGTATTGATTTTTTCAATACTTCTCACGCTTTTTCAAATTGAATAATGAGTGTAGGCGTTGTTCGAAATTGTTTAATTTCAGAGCCCATTTCAAACGAACCTTCATGGCCGCCAATTGGCAAGACGTCGAATAAATGGTGACGTCAGTTTTTATGCTGTTTCGTTATTGATCAGATATTCTTCCATTTCCATTCATAAAGCAAGGTTGTCAAGTTACCAATTATAATCAAGTTATTAAAAATATGTTAGAGTCCTGTTGATATTATAGTTCATTCTTGACCAGCATGTCCAAATATTTCTTATTCTCCATAACAGAATATCATGTGGATGTTGGAGACTTGGCAACATTGTGCTGCATGCTGAAAACTGACAAGACCACGCCCACATGTCGTGCGCCGTGTTGTCACGTTCACGGATTCAAATGTCCTCTAGGGTGAATTAATATAATTATTATAATTCATAAGGGAACATTTTGATACAATTGATTTTGTATTGCTAATTAGGAATATCATTAATACTCAATTGAGAATTTATGAATTATTGAATAACTTATATTCCTGAAGTTCCCAATCGTATTCCAACACATGGCAACTGAAACAAAAATGAAAAGTACCTCTAGTGTCTTTTATATAGCACAGTAAATTTATTTTTTGCAGATCTCTTGAGCAGAATCGATTGGAGGAGGCCAGAGGAGGGTACTCAGGGGGGTACTCGGGAGACGAGGGGCAGTACCGGCCCGGAGGCGGTGGTGGGGGGTACAGATACTGAAAAAATCAGCACTTCAACCCCTGAAAATGTAATCCAGAGCCAGTTGAAAACGACAAACAGAATACGTTCTTTTAGTTTTAAGGTGTAGTTACAAGAATGTCTGTGTAATAAGATGTAATCTATTTGAATATTTATGAGATTTATTTTTTATATATTTTTGTATATGTGATTCTTCGTGATGAATGTGAAATGCCTGTGTAAAATCATTATGGAAAATAAATGCGTTACCAGGTAATTACGAGTGTTTTACTCTTTTCACTTCATCTTGATTAGAAAGTATCTACCTACCTCTGACTTTCGAGGGTTGCTTTGCAACTAAGCTGGCGGTTAAAAACACTTTTTTAAACACCTACACATTCTATTAGAAAGAACTCATTTTTATGAAATGTACAGAAAAGACTTAGCAAAAATCTCGCTATTATAAATCACACCGGGAAAAACAATGTCTATATTTTTTTCAATAGCTCTCTCAGTTGATATTGGTTTTACAGAAACGTTCAAATGGACAAACATCGAGTATTTTTCATAGTCATTCAGAATCTATTACTAGAAATTGCAAAAAAGCATAGTAAACCTAGAAATTCTACATGAACTGGTATTTTTCAAATAGAACTCTCTGTATTTCATTTTTCTGAATGGTAGAGCTCTCCTTTCTGATTCCAAATATTTATACTTTACCATAGCTGACCCAGCAAACGGTGTTTTGCCATAAACATTATTTCTAGAAGAGACTTTCTTAGATAAATATTCATCAACAAACTTTTTATATTTTATTTCTACTTCTTTTTAGTATGGCTGTCCAATTATTCTATTTATCTTCTACTTCTCATTATTTCAGCACTCTATATCCCTTAATTTTTTCAAATTAATCTTCATTTTTTACTCACTTATTTTCAGTTTGGCTATCTATCAATTTTCTACTTCTATTCAGTTTGGCCTCGAGTTTGGCTATACATAAAAGCGTGTTTCATTATAGTTCTTCAAACTACTATTTATTACGAAGCTCTTTCACCATATTGGATCCGTCATCTTGAATTTCCCAATTTTAAAGAATAAAATCATAATCCCTGACCCCAAAAGCCCCCAGATACAAATTTTGAATAGAATCGGTATATAATAACAAAACTCGTCTGCCATATTGGATCCTCCATCTTTCATTTCCTAATTTTGATGAAGGAATCAATCTCCGACCGCATTATCCCTCAGGTACAGATATACAGAAACAAATACAGGGTGGTGCAGAATTCAGATTCTTGATCACCCGGTATATGTCCCAATTAAATATCAGTAGATAGTTAATCAAAAGTTGAGATAGGGACATGTAAGCCGTTTCGACCAATAATGAATAGTTTCGACAAAAAAAAAATCCTAAAGTTGAAAAATGTCGATTTTTCACACCCTATATCTCTGTAATCATTTCCGCTAGACCCCAAGTTAGATACATCGATGAAATCAGCTCTTCAGAGAGAATCTGAAAATGCGATGAAATACAGGGTGTTCCATTTGAAATAACAAAGTTGGTGCTACTTTTCGATAGAAGCGGCAACGCCGCAGAGCTGAAAATATTTTAGATCGATAGATCAAGAGCAATTACTTGAGTAACCAAATTTTCAGAATGATCTTATGTCCCGTTCTCCGTAAACGTCTAAGGTGCCATCTACCGTGACCCACCCTGTATATGCTGTCCATTTTCAGTGAGGATATAATCAGCCAGTTTGAATGTGTAGGTATGTCTTTTCTTTGTTTCGTTCTGACACTTTTTCGTCCTTTATAAAATATGTCTCTTTGTTTCACCTGTATAATACTTTCCTTGAACACAAGGTATACTGTATATTCAATTTGTAGATAGTTTTTTGACACAAGAATTGATCTCATTGCATAGTCAGTCTTGAACACAGTTTTCACTGTGGAAGTTTATAAACTAGTATGTCCTTGATATTTCTAGGAGGTTTATCGCCCACTTTTTTCTGGGAAATTTGTATCACCCTGTAGGTATGTTTGGGGTGAAAAACTGAGTGTATTTTCGAATTTTGAAGAGGTTACTTGAAGAAAACACATGCACCGAATTGTTATTTGCTTGTTTAATGAAGGTACTCAAGATTAATAAAAAAATCCATAATAATATTAATAAAATATGCCTTTAACGATAAAATAAACAGATAGAATTTATTGCACGATTCCTTGAAGCCTGCCCTGCAGCACCCTTTCGAAATGCGAACCGTCCCAATAGACTTTACCGCACTCTTCGCAAACGTAAAAAAAATCGTACTTGCCCAGAATCGGCTTGGGAATCGCTTTCACCTGGATTTTGCTGCCCAAACTGGTTTGGCAGAGACCCACGTCAACTTTTTCGTCTGAATCTGGGAAAAAAGATTTTTGAATTATTAGGTCATTTTAGAGGGTATGTTAATATAAACTCTTATCATCTTTTTGGACCAGCTATCACATCCTGAAGTCCTGCGCATATATTATGAAACACTCCGTATATCCGGAAAAAAAAGTAGTCACTCTTTTCACATGGGAAAAAAGTAATTTCAAGAAAAGTGACATTTTGTAACCTGTCAACAGAAATGAAATGTCGAACTTTTCCCCGTCATAGAAAAGACTTCTTATTGACAAAGGTGAGTGAGCTAGCCATTTTGATAGAAATCCATGTATCCGGTGAACTGAACACATCTACAACGAGTATCACTTACATTCCCTGTTGGTTGCATACAGTTGTATATAGTATTATGTATTGTGTTGAATTCTTATTCCTCTCGAATTATCAAAAAGGATGGGATTATTGAGTGTAGACAAGATATTGAGTACCTACCTCTACTTGCTTGTTTTTTCTTTAGTACCAGGCCACTCCTAGTACCTTCAATAAAAAATAATTATTCATTTACCCACTTATACTGTTTTGAAGAATTTTACGTACAATATTTCGAAATGTGAGCGCGGTAAAAAATTATTAATAGTCGAAAATTGTGAGGTTAGATTGTTTAGAAAAAGTAGTCAATTGACACATAATACCGAAGGTACCTTGCGCTCAATTGTCCTATAGTACCGAAGGTACCTTGCGCTCAATTATCCCATTCATTCTCTACTACCCAACAAATTTTCTGATCGCTGTGCTCAATCGTCCGTTTCCCCTATTTCGTGTTTTCACTTGTAATACCACTAGGGGGTCAAAGTATTTCCGGAAATTTTTTTTTTAGTGCATGGATATTTTGAAAATTATTCCGAGTCGAAGACGACGAAAATGAATCTTCTAGTCAAGAATATTAGAAGAAGATCCAATTCAAAACATTATTTACCTATCTCAGATCTGACAAACATCCATTTTTTGCTGTCACACCATAATGAACTATTGCCAACATCGCTTTGTTATCCGCTGTTATCTTCCTACGATATGCCTTCCATGAGCGACTAGCTCTCGATGAGTAGAACCCTGTATTTTTCTGTATACCCTGTATATTTGAATAGATATTGCATCATTGTCAATATGAGTGAAATCTGTATTTAAAATTGTATAAAATCAGCTTTGAATTTTTTCAATAAGTGGAAAACAAAAAAGATAAAGGGGGTTTTCATTGATAAAACTAGCCCTGTAAATACTAGTGGTAGTAGAGAAAGGGGAGGCGGTCGCCTAGCAAGTAGGCCCCAGTGAGCCTTTTTTGCCGACCCCTGCTGCACACGTCATGTGCACAAAATATCTACTATATCTTCTCTTAATTCTCCTTTTCGAACCTCTGTGGACTTCTGATGAAGGTCAGTATGTCCGTCCACCTTATTAATTTGATCTTCCTGTTGAAGCGTATCAGTACCAGAGATTTCGAATTCTAGCCTTCCTTATAATGCCTTACACTGGCCCAGGTAACGGTATGACATTCTATATAATATATGCAGTTAGGGCATCAATGGATTCTTAGCCTATTAATTGTTGATTTCTACCCAATTGAAGTTTTTTTTTTATCGCTTGGAGCGAATCCCTATAATGTTCAAAGAACATCGTGCGTTCCTAGGGAGGATAGGGACAGTAATTAAAAAAAAATTCCGATTCATACGCTCACGAGAAAAAAATGTCCGCTAAAATACATACGTTGCTATGGTAAATGTGAAAACTTCACAAACGATAAGATTTCCACAAAATTCTCAAACACATGAAATGTTTTGCTAACACAGTAGCTTCGTCAGGTGATATACTGGTATAATGAACTAAACTAACGTTGGCTTGCTTAACTTTTATATATCCAACTTTCCCAACCTGAAGGATTAGTTACCTGTGGACAGATACGATAAACCTCCGTTTTCGGAAATTAGGCACAATATCTACATTAAAATACGGTATACCGGATCAACTTGGAAGAGTTGATAGCAAATACATATTATTAACTACTAAAACAAATGAAACAGTGGTGAACTATTGACTATTGATCAATTAGACCTCGATAGTTCACCACTGTTTAATTTGTTTTCTTAGTAAGTAATAATATGTATTTGCTATCAACTCTCTCAAGTTAATCCGGTACACTGTATTTTGATATAGATATTGGGCCTAATTTCCGAAAATGAAGTATTATCGAACCTGTCCACATGTAACTAATCCTTCAGGATGGGAAAGTGAGATATATAAAAGTCAAGCAAGCGAACGTTAGTTTAGTTCATTGTACCAGTATATCACCTGACGAAGCTACTGTGTTAGCGAAACATGTCGTGTGTTTAAGAATTTTGTGGAAATCTTATCGTTTGTGAAGTTTTTACATTTGCCATGGATTTTTATCAAGTAACGGCCGAGTCAATTTAAAAAAAAAAAGTTGCTATGGTAATTTGTCAACCCAATTCAACTGTATAAAAATTACTGGTGCAGAATTTTCTTTTCTATTTTTTGTACTTACATAAATCCCATTTTCTGGTAGAGCACACCGGCGGTGCGGCTTCATGGAAATTTTCTTCTTCGCTGGAAAAGCCTGTGGCCTCCTCTTCGTAGTAACAAGGCGGCGCGAAAACTTTCCGCTCGCTATTTTCGGCCATCGTGTTCATCGTCGAACGGGAAACTTTCACGAAACTATTTCCGTTGCACGCCTGCAGAAAAATTTACAAATTTTGAGCACAAATTAGTGATTTTCAACCTCGAAAACCCACAATTCTACATTTTCAGCGGTATCGGACGAGATATTGGAGAACGTCCGCCATTTTGGAGGCGCCATCTTTGATGTATTTTCAGCGAAAGCGTAGAAGTGTATTGCTACTGGAGTCATATATGGTAAACGTGTTCCAATTCTCAAGTAAAACTATAAACGATGATAGAAAACATGCTTTCTACGAAAACTGACTGATATACTACTTCTAAAGATAACGTACCAACGAAATAACCTCTAATTCTGTGATAATACATCTTGCAGTATGTTTTTCTAATGTCAGAAGCTTTGAATATCTTGTAAATACTTCATTACTCATAGTAATACGAGATCTTGTTGATTTGAAAGATTTTTTTGAAGAAAACATTAGGTGAAACTCGATTTTTATCGCAGTCTGTTGTTTTTCTTACCTGACATCTGCTGAACACGTGATCTTTGGTTATTATAATTTTATAATAATCTATCACTTCTCTCATTTGTTCTTCCACATCCTCGTTGTTGACTCTCAGGCACCAACCACTTGGAACATATCCATTCAACTGAAAAATGATTGAAAAGGAATATTCTCAGATAAATTATGAACATACAAAAATGGATATATATTTATATAAAGCAATACATTGAGAATTCGCATGGGTTCAAACTTGAACGATGGAAACTTGTGATTTTTGTGGACTTCTAATCGCAGATTCGTGATAGAGTCTCAATTCAGAATTTCTTTCCACGCCCTGTATGATGAATGTCAATTTATCATACACCCAAAAGTGAAAAATGATTGTTATAAGAAACTATATGATTTTACGGGGATTATTGAAGAATAATTCGCACTATGTTCAACTTGCCCCCTAGAGAGTCATGTAGGCCCTATTTTGTTCATTACGAAATCCTAACGTTCCCCTGTATATACATTTTCGAATGCCTGCTATACTTCAGGGAAAATATAGGTAAGTTCAAAACTGATTCCCAGTACCATTCATACTCGACCAGAAAGAGAAATTTCTTGTGTATTCCTTCACATAAGACTGCTAAATTTGAAACAAGTCCTAGTTATTGTGGAATTATGTTCTACAACCATCTCCCCGAAAGCATCCAATGCCTGGATGGACACTCATTTAAAAAATACATTAAATCACTCTCTAGCTGTCGCGTTGGACATATCGAAAGCATTCGACCGTGTTTGGCACGAAGGACTCCTCCACAAACTACCATCATACGGCTTACCACCTCAGCTATGCCATCTCTTATCAAGTTTTCTTTCAGGCAGATCGCTTCATGTGGTGGTGGACGGTGTATCGTCTGATACCATTGGCATCGATTCCGGCGTTCCACAAGGATCAATTTTGGCACCAACATTATTCCTTCTTCATATCAATGATCTGTTGGGAGTAAAAACTTGCCCCATCCACAGCTTTGCAAATGATAGTCCCCTCCATACTGCGTTCTCTTCCAGAATTCCCATTTCTTCCCAGGAAACTAAGAACTCACGGCGCAGGCAGGTCAATGCTGTCAATGAAGATCTTGCTGAAATCACAGCCTGGGGAACAAACAACCTAGTTGAATTCAACGCCACCAAGGCAGAACTCAGTATGCCCGATATTGTAATGTCTGGCTCCACCATCCCCACCAAGCCCACCATATCTATGCTCGGTATTTCCATCAGCAACACTCTTTCATGGGATAATCATGTCAGATCCATCGCAAAAGCTGCTTCACAAAAACTCGGATTCTTGTTCCGTGCAAAAAGCTACTTTACACCTCAACAGCTTCTCATGATCTACAAGCGCAGATACGGCCTGTTCTAGAAAACTGTTCCCACATATGGGGTTCAGCACCAAAACATACGCTGATGCTCTTAGATTCCATCCAGAGAAGAGCCATTCGCCTGGTGGGTGACGCCACACTGACTCACTCTTTGACATCATTGGAACACCGTAGAAAGGTCGGCGACCTTTCACTTTTCTATCGATACTTCCACGGAAAATGTTCTTCAGAAATCTCTGCTATCATCCCTTCACTAGCAATACCAAAAAGACGAACTAGACAAGCCCAGTCAGCACATCCTTTTGTTGTCAATTTCGAAAGATGTCGAACAGCACTTTATCAGGACTCCTTCATCCATAGAACGGCTAGGCTCTGGAATTCATTGCCTGTGGAAGTATTCCCAACAACATACAGTGTGACCCACTTCTAATGGAACCAACCCTGTATCTTACGTAATCGTTGGGTAAGGATCCTGAAATTTGCTGGAGCGAGAGATATACCAAAAATGCACTCTATGACCAAGTGGGGCCATCTTCAGTGATATACACTGCTCGCCAACAGCCATGAAACTACGCCAATTTCCGGAAAATGATATTAGGAGTCAAAATAGGTCGAAAATCACTTCAGATTTGGAATCAGGACGCCCAATTTACTAACTATTAAAATTTTTCCTGGAAAATTTTCAGTTCGGAAAAATGAAATTTTGTCGCATTTTTTATGGAAGCACCCCCGTATCTCACGTAATTATTCAGGTAGGGTTCTGAAATTTGCCGGAGGAAGAGAAAGTCCAAAGATAAAGTCTGGCATACCGTATCTCCATCTGTAGTTGCCTGGGGCCTCCTCTAAGTTGATTCGTTTAGAAAGGTGATATCGTGGAGCATACCACGCTAAAATAACTGGCGCCCGAGTATTGTAAATATATTAGTGTTTGTTCTTTATACGTCCGTATCAGGTGCCAACTGTATTCTATCAATTCGAAAGGAATATAGGATTACATCAACTCGAGAACATGAAAAAAGTGTTTTTGGTATGTCTTGATATATCAAATTTCCATAAAAATCCGTTTTTTAAATTGGCCAATGCCATTATGCCCTCTAGCGGCTGTCCTGGAAACTTGAAAATAATTTCCAGAGATTTTTCTTGACCACTTTTATCCTAAATATTTTTTTCCGAAACCTGTGCGGCAAATAGTTTTCGAGATACAGCCGGCGTCCTCTCTTAGTGGTACACCCGGTACACTATCCAACAACAAAAATGAACTATAGCAAACATGTCTCACCATTCGGAACGTGTCGCCGCCCTTCGTCAGCACGTACCGCCCCTCCTCCTGGCAGTACCTCACGCACTCCCTGTGCTCGTGGTGGTTCTCCAAGATGGCGGTGTCGATGCCGCAGCTGCGCAGCTTCTTGCCCAGACCCTGCAGCATCGTGTCGCACACCAGCTTAAGCCTTTCGGCAGGCACCGGCTCGGGATGAGGCGAGGGAGGTTGAGGGACGTCTGGTCTGACATTTGACACCGGTTTCTGAAAATAAATAAGATTAGATTAGACTTAGAATGGGGCCTTCGTGCTATCTGCCTCCACAACGCGACCTTTTCAGATCTATTGTGTCTGCCCCCAAAATCGATTAGAGTTCTTCGGCTAGCCCCGCCTTCTCTATGAGGCTCCATAGGCTAGCTTTCAGATCCCCTGTGTATCTTTGGGCTTCTGGTTTTTCCTCACCCAGCGAAAGGAACCTTAGTCTTGTAGTCTTGACAAGCCCTCACAGTGGCAAAGTATGTGTACTGCTGTGTCCTCCTCTTCCAGCACAGCAGTTCTTCAGTCAGACATATCGTACCCATATGTGTTTGTTGAGCCCACAATGCCCTGTGAGAAGTCCCACTAGTATTCTAGTTGATCTTCGTTTCTGGCTCAGTAGATATTCTGTGAATGTTGGCGATGGTTTTTTTAATAAACTCTTTTGCCTGTCTAATTCCTGGCGAGTTGTTCCGCCATTCTTGAGATTTGGTTTGCATCCATGATTTGACACTAGTCTCTTGTATAATTTTCGCAATACCACAGAAGGGTTCTGGGCCATTCAAAGCTTTGTTTGCTCCTGCTCGGGAATGAATAAAATAGATTTTTGTTTTATGTTCTGGTTCCCACGAAAAGGGATATCCTGTAATGTTCAGAGAACATCGTGATAAGGTAGGAATTGGTGTTCTCCTTAAATTTCTGAAGGTTATATGTCTCGGGGAACACCTCCCTTGGCAATGTGTTCCAGAGCCTCGCTGCTCGTTGGATAAACGAGTCTTTGGAAAGAGATGTTCTGCAGGTCTCCAAAGTGACCACGAAGGAGTGCGAAGCCTCAACTCGACGAGTTAATCTCGCGGGGACTGCCAAGGGAGGAACAATTGTTGATATTTCAGAAGAGCATCGTCCATGAAAATATCTATAAAATAAAGCCAGATCGCCAACTTTTCTACGGTGTTCCAGAGAAGTGAGTGAGTTTGTGAGCGATGCATCCCCCACGAGATGAATTGCCCTTTTTTGGACAGAATACAACAGTTTCAGGGTATGTTTGGGTGCTGCACTCCAAATATGAGAACAGTATTCCAGGACAGGTCGGATCTGTGTCTTATAGATCAGATAGATAGATGGATAATCTTTATTTGCTCTTTGAAATCAAAGCCTAAAAATAGGCGTAGAACTTGTCAATACATAATAATATATCGGTACACAAAAAATAACAGGAGAATATAAAATGATGATAGTACTAATAAAAAATAGAAATATTACGAAAGTTTATGTAGGACATCAGTTTAGTTCACAGACATAAAAATAACACATAAATGATATAGATATATTAAAATTAAATCTAGAGTTCATATGTTTTGGAGGTTAGTGAAAAATCCTCTACACACCTTTTTATGTCCATCCTTCTTGGGCTTCTTCTTGCCCATCTTCTCGTTGGTCATCAGATGCTAACAGGTGTTCTCGAAAGGAAAGCTGACGTCTTAGCAACACCACCTGATGACGTCATAGACCTCGATGAGGCCGTCCTCAATCTCGATTTACTCAATCAATTCTCTGGCGATAATTCCGCACAATTATCCCCACTTTTTGAAAAATTCATTCAATTATCCGTTTGCCGTGTTGGAGTGTTGTTGACATGCACTTTAAAATAATTCATCAATATCTTCCTTTCGGTAATAATTCTGGGGCTTCGGCATTTTCTCGTAGCCATTGCGCTGTTGCCATAAAAGTATTTAGTAGATTGAAAGTTTACAATAAAATCACGAGTTATCGTCACTATTGGCCTTTGCGTAGCGCTGTTGCCACAAAATTAGTTCGTAGTTTCGAAGGTTAGTGAAAAATCCTCTACTCACCTTTTTATGTCCATCCTTCTTGGGCTTCTTCTTGCCCACCTTCTCGTTGGTCATCAGATGCCAACAGGTGTCCTCGAAGGGGAAGCCGACGTCTTGGCAACACCGCCTGATGACGTCATAGACCTCGATGAGACAGTACGCGTCCAAGGCGGCGTAGCCGATTTGGCTGTCTCTCAGAGGGCGTTTCTCCCAATTGGAGAATTGGTCGCTCTTGTCCAATGGACGGCCGAGGCAGTGGTGGACGAGCGAGCTGAGGCTCGGACCGCCTTTTTGTACTGGGGAACAGAACGGAAGAGGAAAACTTGAGAAACGGGATGAGAACATTAGAGTTTGGGTGCGTTTTTCATTCCAACATTTTATCATGCGCATGAATCGAAGAAACCATCGAACTGTTGCAAAATTCCGCTGGAATGTTGATGGACATCCATCAAACTGTTGTAATAAAATGCGCACTTTTAAATCGCATTTCGAGAATCCAGCAGTTTGGAGGAGATTGACATGACAGTTGACACATTTTAGTGTTGTTTTTTGTTTTGATTTGATAGAAAACAATTAATATTGAGGATTTTTGAGATTCTTGAGAGATTTTAGAAGAAAGAGTCAGTGTTAATCAATAAAGTCGAATTAGCCTTTTCTGATTCTCAAGATACATGATGACTGACACACAACAAAATCCGTGTTTCCATCAATGTGTTGTATAAACCATTGTTCAATCCTTCCAGCATAAATTCCAACAGAACAATTGGTGACGTCACGACAAAAAACCGCATCCATCAGTGCGCACTTTCTTCGATGGAATGAAAAACACGCCCTTTTGTATTGAAAATTAGTAGTTTTTTCCGCAATTTCTATATTTTTCTAAGGAAGCAACAATACAATTTTCTTATTGACTCTTCGAGTTTTTTCGTATGCCACTTCATTATTGGGGGAAAAAACGAACATCAGCTCAAATATTGTCTGTGGGTTAATCGAGGAGGTAGTATATTCATTATTCCATAATTATTATTGTTTGGGAGTTTCTTTCCTCGTTTCTATAAAAAAAGAGTATAATTTCAATACACGTGTATATTGAGGAAAAATTAGATGATTTGCCCGAAAATGTCACTGCATTTAAAAATGTTCCTATCAGAGAGCCTAAAAGAAAAATTCATTCGTTCCCGAAACGTAGAATGATAAGTGAAAATTTGATAAATACTTATATTTTTTAAAGAAACGAGGATAAAATCCTGAAAAATCTGGAATAAAAAACATCAGCCCGTTGGCAGTTGTTAAAAAAAACTACTGTGCGGATATTTTTTAGGGATTTGCATGACCTAGAGTGATTTATTTGCAATTTCTATATTTTGTGCCAATGGAGCTACTCAAAATACAACATTTTGGCCTTTTGTACTCATAGAAAGACAGTGAGGTAGCAGTTATGGATGTAATTTCGGATATTCAGTTCAAAATTGATCAAAATTATTATAAATGTCGTATTTTGTCTTTAGATTTATGTAAACTTTCGATACTGTAAATCATGATATTTTACTAAGTAAAGTATAATCAATAGGTATCACAGGAAAAATATTTGAACGGTTGAAAAATTATCTGGAAAATAGAAAGTAGTATGTTTAAAGTTAATAATATTTGTAGCTCCATAAGGGAGATCAAATGTGGTGTACCACAAGGTTCCGTTTTAGGTCCAATTTTATTCTCATTTCACATCAATTCAATATCATCTTTGAAACTAAAAGGAGATCTAGAGTTATTTGCAGATGATACTACAATAATATATTCCTCTAAAGAATTTAATGATATAATTGATATAAAAATGTATTTGAAAATGATGTCATATTGGCTACAAATTCATAAGCTGACTCTTGACTATGACAAATCTACGTATATGTATATTTCAAAAAGAAAAACTGATATATCGAAAACAAAAATAATTTTAGACCAGAAAGCCATAAAATATTCAGATGTTACAAAATTCTTAGGTCTTGTCGTGGACTAAACATATAGATCACCTGAGAAAAAAGCTACATCCAATTACTGGCATTTTATACAAAATTCAAAATTTCATTCCTCTTAGATATTTGAAGAATACCTATATATTTCTGTCTGATTTACTCAATATTACAATATTCACTATGGATTTGGGGAAGCACAAGTACATCACATTTGAAACCATTAATGAAATTACAAAATAAAACAATAGGCGAGAACACGAATTTCTGGAAAAAATACCATGGCCTTTAGTATGACGAAAAAAGTCTCAGGTATTTTTTTCAGATTTTTATTCGAAGTAGTTTTTCCACAAAAAATTTGCAAAGTATTGATCCCGTTCAAACGAGCTGGAATATCGCGCGTTAATGTGACGTGACAAGTATTAGACGGTGATCCGGCAACGTCGCTTGATATCTTCTGGACTGTTGACTGTGTGGACAGTTGACGATTCGTTCATCTGTCACTACTGTCAGTTGTTATTTTAGTTCATTGTTTATTTGTTTTTGTCGGCCAATATTATTTTTATTCGTGCCATCGAATTATTTATTTTTTCTCATCAACGTTGATTCACATTTCTGGGATGGCAGTGGCTGTAAGGAAATGCCACAAACTTGGTTCCATCCTGCTTAATCAACACTGAACAAAGTATATGGATAAACCGAGGGATAAACCATACCTGGAATCAAATGATATATTTTGCTGTGAGGATCGTTTTGATGTGAGTAGAATTTTTTCTTCAATATGGATTGATCATACTCATTTTGTTCTAGCTTGAATATGACATGTTGAACTGGGTGGAATTAAAACTCATTGGATCTAGAGTTTATATGCCTGAAGATGTGATTCCATATTCATTAAACGTCCAAAACTGAGAAAACACCCATCAAAATCCTAACTTTCATCTTCAGCACGAAAAAGGAGATCTCAATAATCCCTTGAGAATTTGGGAGATAAGATAAAATGGAACTTTCCTCAATTCATATTGACTCTCCTTGAGGAAAATTCTTGGAAGTATCAGTGAGTGTTTAAGTTGAAGAAAGTTTTCTTGAAGAACCTGTCATGGAAGAGACTGACATCAAATACTTACTATGAACCAGAACCAAATTGACAGTCCCATAACATATTGTGATAAGATGACTCAGGACTGTTGCTGATTGATATACAAATATGTTTGTGATTTTTACCATCATGATTAAGTTTATTTGTTTTCTTGAAAACTTTGTGATGATCTGGACAAGATATTGATATAATATTTCCATGTTCTACATCTATATTCATTCTAGGAGGTCTATTAATATTTAACTGTTCTAATTATATCTACTGCATAAAAGTGGACAATAAATGAAAATTTCCACCAACATTCTTGCTTCATTTTGAAGATGGGGGCATTTGATAATTTCTGTGTACTACCTATTTGTTTACATTTTTGAAAAATTTTCCCTACATGAAATAGTGACAATACCTATCTAGTAATTTTGGCTTGTATGATTTTGTTTTTTGCATTGAGAATTGATGTTGCATCTTCCATCATTTTTACTGGATTTTTTTCTTACTACTTTCATAACTTCTTTGGTGTAATGATAGGTATTGGTCTTTCTTACCAATATTACACTGACAATAAAATATGAATGAACTAGGTTGTTCAACAAGAAGTAAACATGAATTTCATATACCTACCATCTCCAGTTTGTGAAGGTATAGTGTATGATCAATATGAGAAGGGATTTTGAAGTTGTGTATGATGAAATATGTTATTTATAAGACACTGGTGAGCTCTAAATAAGTCCAATTTTGAAATAAGAGAAGAAAAAAAGTACTGTAGTACTGATATTTTATAATTTTATTAAATGGGTGAAAATAACAGTTTGCCAAAAATTTTCAGCATCTTTTATAATTTTCTAAAGGAATATAGGGTCATATGACACTTCAAGTAACTGAAAACTACCATTATTCTCAAAATTCTCCTGCTCATCTAATGTACCTTTCAATGTCTTGCACTTTGCGCCTTATAGCTTTGAAGCAGTAATTCTTCCATAGCAAACTTCAAACCATGCTGATAATGATGATTTGTTTTGATTCACTTTTATATATTGCACCAATTCACAATCACTGTCACTGATATTCTGATGAATGAAGTCTTGGAATCCCCCAGGAGACAAATTGGATGAATGTTTTCTGGACAAAATAATTAGCTTATGAATAAGAATCAAATTCTTTCAAAAACAGTTATCCTTGGCATCCATGTTTTTCATCTACTTGAAAAACTTCTTCAATAAATTTTGATGGAACCACTGGGAGGGTAGTAACTTGTTTTGGTGCTAATTCTACAAGTGGCATGAATGTTGATAGGAGGCTCAAAAATTTGGTAGTTTGGACACTGAGTAATTGGACACTTTTCAGTAACACTCCATAGAAGGTACAGAGGGTTCTTCTGATCTTCCATGTAACCATTATAAGGAAGCCACACTGTGTTTACATCTATATACCTAAGAATATAAAAGAATACAGTTTATAAAAAAGTCAAGCATTTATGTACCTTTTACCTCTTGAAACTGCACAATCCAGACTACAGTTTCTTCAGCTTCATGAATCTCAGCCTCAACCTTTTATGGTGTAGGATGAACATTATGTTCTGGACTAATCTTCACCTTTATGAAACAGCTCATGCCAGTTATTTGAACTTGCAGAATTCAAAAACCATAGTTGAATCAACTACTGGAAGATTGTGATTGCTTTTTCGAATACTGGCTTCATATCTCCAATCAATAAACATGAACCATCAGACTATGTCACAATAATAGTCACAATGATTTGAATATTTTGATTACACAAGAAAATAATAAGCAAATGGAAAATCACAGAAAAACTCTGATGTTTTGGAGTTCGGTTTCTTAGGTTAGGAAATATGTTCGAATATTTTGAAGGTACAGTACAGCGTTGCCAAATGCACGCCAATACTTGTTACGTCATCACGTATCCGCCATTATTGGTTTTTTGAATGGTCCACAAATTTGTATGGTTTTGAAAACGCGTTCTTTGGATAATGACAGCATTTATTGTTGAAAAAACTACTGGTACACATTATTTCAATGTTATATTTATTTCTTATGCACATTTGAACTGAATTCGTGCTATTGTGTTCTCGCCTATTGAGTGCATTTACAATTTACATTACCTGGAACCAACTTTCAATCTTTACAAACCAAAAAATCTGTAGAATTCATCACCTCTATATGAAATGAAAATTTGTTCTTTTATTCATTTTGTGAGAATAAAAATGAAAATATCCAACTTGAGCTTTACTCAAGTGAATACAATTCATACTCATGAAACGAGACAGTTGAATTAATTAATAGCAAACCCATATAACTCCATCATTGGCAAACAATCAGTATTCTACAACGGAATCATTTTATATCATTCATTACCTTATGATTTGAAACATATTGATGATGAAACAAGATTCAAAGTCAATATGAAAAAATATATACTCATGACACTATAAACGGAGCAATTTATTCTCATCTGAATACTTGGAATGATTGTATTTTAATTATTATGTTATATTGACATGACTCGTTAATTTTTTTTTATTGTTATATATACATATATGCATACCAATGTTTATACATTCCTATTATAAACAAATATGTTTCTTGGGGTAATAAAGAACAACAAATAGATTGAGAGGATCGAGAAACCTTAACTCACCTTCATAGGGTAACTTAACTTCTGGAAACCTATCCAAATGCTTCCAAAGTGTACACAAATCTAGAAAACCTATTTGTTTCGTAGAAAAATTTAAATCTGGCAGGGCTTGTCTTATCATATGAATATCACCGGTCAAACTAAAACCTGAAAAATAAAAAATGACAGAAAGTTAACAACCAAAAAAAAAAGAGAAAAATAGACAGCTAGTGATTCATGATTCATCTACCTACCTACTTTCAAGATATCACAATTGTTGAAAATGAACTTTCCAAGTTCTTGCCATAGATGCGGCGTTTTGTTGCTAAGGTTGATTATATCGAGTACGAACACATTTTTTCTAGTGGCTATCTGCATCAAAGCCAACTCGTTGAGTTTACTACCGAAACTGGGTTTCCATTCACAATCTACGCCTATGATGTCAACATCCTGAAAAAAATCATACGATAGTTCTCTAGAAATATTCAATCTTACGACGCGTCTGAACTGCCATCTTGCAATTTTTTTTATAAATCTTTGCTGTAAATTAAGCAGATGAAAATGTTTTCTTACATCTCCTAATCTACAGTTGCAATGAGGGAGTTTCCTTGAGATGAATTTTCATGAAGTATATGTTCGGAACTCCCCAGTTTTATGTCAACGCTGTACAGAATGGCGATCGATAAAGTCCAAGTCGGTTTCATTTTAATAATAATTAAAAATGCAATTTCCAATATTTGGTGAGGCAAACTGTGACGTACATTCTGAATCTAGTCTGAATCTGGCTGATCATGAAGAATATTGCTGGAGAATAGCTAACGAATAGGACACGAATAAAAATAGAAGAAGAAGATCGTTGTTGTTGATTATCATGAAAAATAAAACGAACTAACAAAACAACTATAAACTGTAGACACAGGCTAACAATAACTGGAGATCAAGAATCGACGCAAGTGAAACTGGTAAACGAAAACATACATAACCACAAAATCAGATCAGCTCTCTGTGTGCCTGTCAGTATTTTGTGTGGTGTGGACGGGCTCAAAGTATTATGCGCTGTTGCAAGATATAATCTGCAACTTTCCTAGAGAAAAGATCCGTTTCATAAATGAACAAATATATTTGCAAAATAATGACTGACAAGGTATGATTTTCATTTTGTTTTATAAAGAGGCAAGCTAGAAATATCTCAGATCAGGATGCGATAAAAACACTGTATATTTCACTAGTTCGGAGCGTTCTTGAATATAATAGTATCATTTGGTCACCAATATACAATTGTCACAAAAGCCGTTTAGAGTGAGTTCAAGGTCGGTTCACAAATTTTCTTATCTGGAAACTTGGACTTTTCTTCCATGATCTCGACCCTCTAACAAGAATTTCATAGTTAAACCTTCAAACTTCAGAAGATAGACGAATTTTTGCTATGTCAAACTTTTTATTCAAAATTGTAAATGGTATTATAAACTGCCCAGAAATATTGGAAAAATTATCATTTCACGCCAATCCTAGAGCTACGAGAACCAATCAACTGCATCCAACAAATAAGACATTTATGAAAAATTAATTATTACACTCGATGAAGTAGACATACTGATGATGCCGGCAACGTCGTACTGACACAAGGAATCGTATTTTAACTCTGTGTGAATGTGGCTTTTTATAAAGTAAGTCATAGGAGTGGTGAATGAGCCAAGTTTGAAAGGAAATTTGATCTTACGAAAGAAAGAAAAAATACGTATATATTAATATAATAATAATAATAATAATAGTGAATGAACTTTGTTGAGTATAAATACTCAAAGACCGAGGTCTTTCCACCACCTATACCGGGTGGCTACGGAAGTATTGCCTACGGAATAACTCAGATATTGTACGAAGTAGGTTTGTGAAATTTGGAGCGTCGATATAATGACATAAGAGCTAGAATTTGAGCATATTGACATGTCGAAGTTAACTTCCGGTCTGACCGGAAGTAACATCAACTTTCTCATTTTAAATGGAAACCCTATTATTTTTTCTTTTCGCTTTATTCAGCATTCAATTCCCTTTCTAATGACATATCACAAGCTGGTATCCAACCAGAAACTAGATCAGAAAAAAATTATTATTGAAATTCACCGAGTAGGCCGTGGAAGCAGAATGAAAGCCAAAAATTGAAAAGTTGGCTATGGAAACCATACGTCACTTGATGACAGTTGCTACTACTGTGATATTTTATTTTCATTCGTCGGCGTTATAAAAAGCCGCCAAAAAAAATATTGGAAAAATTGGGAAAAAAACAATACTCTGTAGGTCCATAACTTGAATAGGAACATACAACTTTTTCTTGCCTGTACTATTCAGCATAACCATTCCTTTCTAATGATATAATAGAAAGTCATTTTTTGGCTTTTATTTTGCTTCCACGGCCTACTCGGTGAATTTAAATAATAATTTTTTTCTGATCTAGTTTCTGGTTAGAATGCTTAATAAAGCGAAAAGAAAAAAAATATGGTTTCCATTTAAAATAAGAAAGTTGATGTTACTTCCGGTCAGACCGGAAGTTAACTTCGACATGTCAATATGCTCAAATTCTAGCTCTTATGTCATTATATCGACGCTCCAAATTTCACAAACCTACTTCATACAATAACTGAGATATTCCGTGGGCAATACTTCCGCAGCCACCCGGTATATTGAATGTTCTCAAACTTCACAGAGAGATAAAAATCTCAATATTGTAAATTAGGGCGTAAAAACATTTTTTCAAAACATCTAATGAATCACACTCGCAACTGTAAATTACCACTAGCAGCTGTAAATTGGAAAGATTTATTTGCCTAATTAACAGTTGAAATAGGCAAAAATTCGTGAAAAAAAGTGTTTCTAGGATGGCAGTTCAGAAGTATCGTACTATCTACTTTCTAGCGATATTGTTTTTCATATCATATTAAACTCCTTTGTTTCTCTCAGATTTATCGTCCTGTATAAAAAATTATGAAAATTTGTGCTTGACGGATATCAAGTTTGGTGTATCATCAGTGATAGATTTCCAATATACATACAAATATTCAATGTCTTTTCTGTAACTGCGGATAAAAAGAAAACCACATAGTTCAACTAAGGTTTCTCATTTCATAAAGTTATTTTTATGAGTTATTCAAGTCGCTGTATATTGCTGCGAAGTTTATTCCTCATTGGAATTATGTAAAGGTCAGCTAATAGGTAATAGAAAAGGCAAATTTACTTTCGCATGTATTTTTAAGTCCTCCTAAATCCCTTTGTTTATTCTTCGAGATAAAGTAAAAGAATAGATTTGCGATACAAAATCCTAGTAATCATTCTCAGTATTGAAATAGCAGTGCAAACAATAATTCGAAAAAATGGCACTGACGAAATTAAAAATTTTAACGATCCTCACAGTAAGTGAAATACTTGAATCTGCCTAGGCGGAAAACTAATGAATTGATTAAAGAATACTCGTAATATCTCCATTTTATGAAATCTGTGCTATATTCCATCTGGTGTTGATTTCGATGTCAGATTTTCCAATTCGATTTTGACCATTTCTTATCATCCCATTCAGATTAGCCAATTTTAAATTAGCAAGGGTCGTTTGTGATTTAGATAAAGTAAAAGAATAGATTTGCGAAGCAAAATCCTGATAATTATTCTCAGTATTGAAATAGAAGTGCAAACAATAATTCCAAAAAAATGGCACTGACGAAATTAAAAATTTTAACGATTCTCACAGTAAGTGAAATACTCGAATCTGCCTAGGTGGAAAACTAATGAATTGATTAAAGAATACTCGTAATATCTCCATTTTATGAAATCTGTGCTATATTCCATCTGGTGTTGATTTCGATGTCAGATTTTCCAATTCGATTGTGACCATTTCTTATCATCCCATTCAGATTAGCAAATTGTAAATTAGCAAGGGTCGTTTGTGATTTGAATTAGTGAATTATAACTCGTGAAGGGTCATTTGGATTTTAAATTCGAGGTTAAATTAGTCAAGTGTGAATCAGATTAGTGAATTGAAATTTACAAAGAGTTATTTGTAATTTGAATTCGAGTTTATATTAGTGAAATGTGAATCAGATTAGTGATCTGAAATTTATGAAGAGTCATTTGCAATCAGAATAAGTCAACTAAAATTCAAATTAGTGAAGTGTGATTCTTGAAGGGTTATTGTAATTCAAATTAGTGACCTTATATGCAGAAAGAGGAAACATTGTAAATTTGATTGTTCTATCTTTTTGCGATTATAAATACAGAGATTTATAGTTGACTTTCCCTGGATATTTCTAATTGTTGTTTCGAATTTATATAGGGTGGGGCAATATTGCGTCAGAACTCGATTATTCAAGTTCTATGTTGGCTAGAAAAATATTTCAATGTCACTAAGAAAATAAGATTCCTTATTCCTAAATTCAAACATTTGAAAAACGAAACGAAATATTCGAAATTTAGAAATTATATACTATGCTTTAGTTCAATCTCAATTAGTTTATGGGATATTAGGATGTGGTGGAGTGAAGCAGATATATTTGAGAAAATTGGAAATTGCACAAAAATGGATTTTAAAAATTATTTATGGAAAAGATTATTTGTTTCCAACTGAACTTTTATATAAGGAATCTAAGAAAATGGATATAAATCAACTCTATATTTACAATTTACTGATTCATATTTTCAAAAATAAAAAGGACATTCAATTCAAAAAACATATCTATGACATAAGAAATAAAAATAACATAACATTGAAATATAAAACAAACAAGTCATTTGGACGTAGAAATTTTAAATTTTTAATTCCTCACCTATATAATAAAATTCCAAATGATATTATAAAAACAAAATCACTACAATCCTATACAATAAAAATAAAAAACTGGATATTAAACTCCCCTAAAAATTATTTTATTTCTTCAATTAACATTTAATAATATCATTAGATAAATTTTAATAATAATTGTGAATAAGTATGTATGAATATAAATAATTATGCGTATTGAATGAAATGCTCAGTACACTATATATTATGAATTGAATACTTGTCTCATTTCTTAATGAGACAATTTTCCCTTGTGATAATTTTATGTTGTTAAATATTTATTGACCTATGTACATTTATTTATTTTTTATCCTTACTACAAGGTTAACTTCGTAAGGTTTTTCCCAGTTTATTCAAATTACCTATATGTTTATTCCAATGTATATTTTGTAAACGTTTTTGAATAAACTTATATTATTATTATTATTATTATTAATGGAAATGGTCAGTAACTAAAAATTATTGCTGCATATACAGAGCGCACCGAAAAAAAAAGACTAGAGAATCGGGGTAATTTTTTTAAATGGACTGTATATTGGCATACTTTTTTGAGCAGAATAAATGAAAAAACCTCCATCCACCTGTATAATATCATTGACTATATGTTTACTATATTCCGATCATATCAAAGTTATGATATTCTTTGTTGAAGTCAAAATAATCTCATCTGCAGATGCATACTGAAAAAATCACTCTCGTCACAATTATGAAATTTGGGAGAAAATATTTATAATTTCATTTAATGGAAAGATGCGCGGTATTTCTGAAAAATTGGAAAATCAGCTTCTGCCACCCTTTATAATTTGAGGGCATGAAAATTCATCAGAAATATCACGCGTCTTTCCATCAAATGACTTTAATTTCCAACTATTGTATCCCGTAAAATCAAATTGACTGGTTCCTGCCGTAATTCAATTACGATTTGCAGGTCGTAGCAACCATCTGCACTGCTGCCAATGTTCCAGAAGAAGTATCAGAAAGAAGGCTCATACTGAGGAGATCAAAAAGCGTAGTCTCACCCGATATCTTACCGCGCTCACTCAACATACCGATAGTCAGACAAATACTGACCAACGTATTCACACCGATCCAACAAATAGCCAAAACAGCATTGGATTTCGCTTGCTCATCCATAGACCCTCTGGTGACGACCGTGGATACCTTCCGAAACGTGGTCTTTTCCGACCTCATTTCTTTGGTGAACGTTTTGGCGCCCCTAGTTATGTTTTTCCCCGAGTATAACTCGACTCTCAATATTATCCAGACGGTAATGAGTGTGGTTAATGAGACCGTGGGGAATTTTACTCAATTGGCCAGTACTTCCGGTTGTATTGTTATAGGGAATATCGAAGCTGCCATTGATGGCATCTTTACAAGTATTATTGGAATATTTTGAGTTTTCTATTTGGTTTTTGGAAAATAAAATTGATAGAAGTTTGATTGTGTTTTTTCTTTTATTTCTTCTGAAATCAACGATGTATCACAAAAGTTGATAATAATAATAATATCTGAGAAACCTCTTTTTACAAAATCAAATCATACAAGTGGCAGAAGTATCGACATAGCCATTTAATTAAGCAACACCCTCCTTTGTAGAGAGACAATAAGAACCCCAGAGTTGATACACTCCCCTCGTAAGGATCCCTGAAGTGATTCCATACACTCACATCTCACATACAAGAACGTCGACCAATTTTTCGACTGTTTTGATGAATGAAATATTTGGTAAATCGAAAAAAAAAAGTTTGATGCATTTTTCCCAAATTATTAGATTTGATTTATATAAAAAATTAAAAACGAATTCTTGGGGAGAACGATCAAAGAGGGAATTATTGTCATTCATTTTGGATGGTTTTTTTACTTCCTTCGGAGATATCAAAGAGAGGTAATTTCTGAAAAAAATTATCGAGATTTCATAATTAGGATTTTTTAGGTGAGAATATAAAACAAAACAAAATTTTGTAATGACAGAGTCAAGAAGTAGTCAAAACAGCACTAGATTTCGCTTGCTCATTCATAGACCCTCTGGTGACGACCGTGGATACCTTCCGAAACGTGGTCTTTTCCGACCTCAGTTCTTTGGTGAACGTTTTGGCGCCCCTAGTCATGTTTTTCCCTGAGTATAAGTCTACTCTGAATATTATCCAGACGGTAATGAGTGTGGTTAATGAGACCGTGGGGAATTTTACTCAATTGGCCAATACTTCCGGTTGTATTGTTATAGGGAATATCGAAGCTGCCATTGATGGCATCTTTACAAGTATTATTGGGATATTTTGAGTTTTCTATTTGGTTTTTGGGGAATAAAATTAATACAATTTGCATAGTGTTTTTTTCTTCGACAGAGACGCAAATGTCAATTTCTTCATTTGCTTCGTTGAAATCAGCTATTTCTTCTGAAATAAACGATGTATCACAAAATTTGATATCTGAGAAACCTTTTTTTTCCAAAATCAAATCATACAAGTGGCGAAAGTAGCGATATAGCCATTTAATGAAGGCGACACCCTCCTTTGTAGAGAGGGATCAAGGACGCCAAAGTTGATACACTCTCCTCGTAAGGGTACCTGACATGATTTCATACAGTTATACACTCACATGAATGTCGAATAATCATTCGACTGTATGAAATATTTAGAAAATTGAAGGAAAATGTTGATTAACTTCTCCCTAAATAGCAATTTTGATTTGAATAAAATTCTATTCCTTGGGAAGGATGATCAGAGCAAGAACTATTGTTTTTTTTTGTCAATTTCATACAAACGATTCAGATGTTGTTTTGTTTTGGGACTTTCTTCAAGAATTTCAGGAAGAGGTAGTTTCTGAAAAAATCAATGTCATATACAAGATTTTTTGGGTAAGAATGTAATATGAAACAAAAATTCAAAATCACCGTTTGAGCGATTGAAAAAGACTTGAACATATTGAAAATCTATAATTTGATGGTAAAAAACTTGAAAAGGAAAATTAAGGTTTAGGACACTCACTTGGAAACCCATATCTAGGAAATTTTCGAATTTCAAAGGATCATCGACGAGATGAATAGCACTGGGAGACAAAGGTGATTTATGGTATTCCACAAGGTCCTGTTGCTGAAGGTCTGCATCCCAACTTTCGTCAGGCTGTTGTATCACCTTTTGCTGCATCCTGAAATTGAATTGAAAAGAAGAAGTAATTTTTTGTCGACCTAAACAAAAAAAAAACTTTTCATCCGTTGACACTAACTTTTCGTCCGCAAACACTTTTTGTCCGCTGCAGGGATGTCAGTTCTACTGAATTTTCAGTAGATATCCTCATTTGCAGATTGATCTACTGAAACATTTCATGACCTACTGGGAAATATTTTGACACCTATTAATCATTATAACCTATATGATTATCAATCTTTAGTTGAACACATACAATTATAGATTGCATGATACTTCGACACGCTCGGTTTGAATTTTACAAAATAAGTAATAAAATTACATATAGGCAGTAGGCACTAATGGTATGTAATGAATCAAATAAGGACAATACTTTATCTGATTCAGATCAAATTCAATTTTTTAATTTCTCTTATAATAGTTTGTTTCTTACGTTATTTTTTTTAAATAGTTTCGTATTTTTGTTGTTCATTTTTACAATTCGTTACTGTTTTTATAAACTAAAATCTAATAAGTACCTAGGTAACTGTATTTTGTGATATTTGTGAGTATATAACAGTGTGACCCATTTAAAATGGAACCACCCCTGTATCTTACGTAATCGTTGGGTAAGGATCCTGAAATTTGCTGGTGTGAGAGATATACCAAAAATACACTCTCTCTATGACCAAGTGGGGTCATCTTCAGTGATATACACTGCTCGCCAACAGCCATGAAACTACCCCAATTTCCGGAAAATGATATTAGGAGTCAAAATAGGTCGAAAATCACTTCAGATTTGGAATCAGGACGCACAATTTACTAACTATTCAAATTTTTCCTGGAAAATTTTCAGTTCGGAAAAATTTTTATGAAAGCACCCCCGTATCTCACGTAATTATTGAGGTAGGGTTCTGAAATTTGCTGGAGGAAGAGAAAGTCCAAAGATAAAGTCAATTACGTGAGATACGGGGGTGCTTCCATAAAAAATGCGACAAAATTTCATTTTTCCCAACTGAAAATTTTCCAGGAAAAATTGGGATCACAGGGGCTATGCGTACGTGCCCTACTGCAGCAATGGAAGCTATGCTTGACCTACTACCCTTGCATATTTTTATCAAGAGGACTGCAGCTCTCAGTGCATACAGACTGAACTCCACTGAATTGGCCAGACCAGGTGATGTCACTGGTCACATGGTCATTCTACAAGAAGTACAAATGGAATTTGCAACCAAACCATCGGACATAATGCAAGCCAGGCTCAGTTTGGATCATACCTTAGAAGTGGTTATAAAAAGCCGCCCTAGGTTCGGTTCCGCTGAGCCTCAGCTGGACAGAGGGTCCCTTGTTTGGTACACCCATGGTTCGAAAATGGAAGAAGGGGTAGGCGCGGGTGTATATGGACCCGGATGTAGGCTATTTGAAGCCTTAGGTCACTCCCCCACTATCTTCCAAGCTGAAATACATGCCATCAACCTTTACGCCCAAAGGTGCCTAAGCAGAGGTCTGAGGGGTGCCAACTGCTCAGACAGCCAAGCCGCACTAAAAGCCCTAAAATCATTCGTTTTCACATCAAAGATCACATGGGAATGCTTTGAAACACTCACTCAACTGGGAAAGGACAACAAAGTCACACTTATGTGGGTTCCAGGGCATGAAGGAATCAAAGGAAATGAGGCAGCTGATCGCCTTGCAAAAAAAGGTGCAGTATCTGCACTTTTTGGTCCTGAGCCTTCTTGTGAGATAAGCCAATGGCACATAAAGGAAAAACTCAGGAAATGGGAAGAAATTGAAAAGTCCTCCTACTGGAGAGCAACTCCAGGTCAACGACATGCGAAAAGGTTCATCAACCATTCGCAGAACCGAGCCAAAGAGCTACTCAGCCTCAGCAAACCAGAGCTAAAGCTTATCACAGGCTTTCTCACAGGACACGGCCCTCTGAGGTACCACCTCAAAAAGATGGGCCTGGCGGAGACTGACACTTGTCGCTTTTGTGACAATGCGACCGAAACCGCTCATGTGAAGTATTAGTCCGCCAAAGGCTGAACCACCTAGAACAGGTCTATCTCACCCCTGCTGAGGTGGAAAATTCAACCGTCAGGAAAATTGTAGGCTTCATCAGAAGTCTAGGGTTAGAAGACCAAAACTAGATAAGGGTAATCACAATAGATCGCAGTGATCGAGAGGTCTCCCAGCCTATACGACCCATCTACAATCTACAACTGATGAAATAAAAATCGAACTGGCAACCCTGGCCCGCGCGGAGTAGACAACAACTGTCATCTGCTGTCAAATTATTTATTTACAAAATCCGATAGATTACACGTATGAATTGGACCGTGATGTGGATATAAGTATTTGAGGTCGACGAAAAAATGTAATATGCACCTTCGAGAAAAACTGTCTATTGTCTAGCCAGGTTGTTATCCTCTGCTATCAATTTGCAAATTCGGATATAATAGGCAGTTTTTCGTACTTGATACATAAATAACTATATAAATCTCTGCCCAATTCAAAATATCCAGAAAAAAAAAACTCCAAATGTACGTTCAATGCAACTAATGTTACATGTTTGAACTTCTACACATCATCATCATGTGTAAAACATACAATGGTATAGCTCAATTTTGTGATATTTTCTCGTTGAGTTTGAATTGATTTAGATGTTTTTTAAGTGACTGCAATGTAAGTCTATTATATTATAAAAGTAACTATTGTGAGCTAAAAGGTATCTTCTATCCATAAAATATTTAGATATTACAAAATTCTTAGGTCTTTATATTGATGAACAATTATCGTGGACTAAACATATAGATCACCTGAGAAAAAAGCTCAATCCAATTACTGGCATTTTATACAAAATTCGAGATTTCATTCCTCTTAGATATTTGAAGAATATATATTTCTGTCTGATTTACTCAAAATTACAATATTTGATATCAATTTGGGGAAGCACAAGTATATCACATTTGAAACCATTAATGAAATTACAAAATAAAACAATTAAGTGCATTTACAATTTACATTACCTGGAACCAACTATTAATCTTTACAAACCAAAAAATCTGTTGAATTTATCATCTTTATATAAAATGAAAATTTGTTCTTTCATCCATTTTGTGAGAAAAAAAAATAAAAATATCCAACTTGAACTTTACTGAAGTAAATACAATTCATACTCATGCAACGAGACAGTTGAATTCATTAATAGCAAACCCATATAACTCCATCATTGGCAAACAATCAGTATTCTACAACGGAATCATTTTATATAATTCATTACCTTATGATTTGAAACATATTGATGATGAAACAAGATTCAAAGTCAATATGAAAAAATATATACTCATGACACAATAAACGGAGCAATTTATTCTCATTTGAATACTTGGAATGGTTTTATTTTAATTATTATGTTATATTGACATAACTTGTTAATTAGTTTTTTTTTTATTGTTTTATATATATATATATATATATATATATATATATCATATGTTTATGTATCCCTATTATAAACAAATTTGTTTCTTGGGGTAATAAAGAACAACAACCTGTTGAGTTTGTAAGTTAAAATAAATGAAAATCAGTCTTAATAATTTGGATTAAAGTGATATTTGTAGGATTTGAGTTTTTCCTGTAAATAAACATTCATGATATTTTTCGCTTGCCTGTCTCCATCAGGATTTTCCTCCAACATTCTCACGCTATGAGGCCAATCTTTCTTGTCGACATTATAAAAATGGGCCCATCTAAGGGCTTCTGAAAACTCTCCATATTGAGCCACCAGATAGACCAGCTCTTTCTGGAGTTGCTCTTCCTCGCCTACCGCCTCTTGTACCATTTCCTTCCAACTTTCGTCCCCTTAAAAAAATCCATTTTCCACAAATTTAGATTTTTCATTGATTATGTACAATAGCAAGATGAACCATCCCACTGAATATGAAACCTTCCAGAAACATTTCAATTCTACCCTATTGTGCACTGTTTGAAACGTTCCTTGAAATATAACCCAGACGTATTTTTCAGGTTTCTCGAATATTTTTCAGTTGCAGAACGTTTGAACGAAATAAAAATGAAAAGTTTCAAGAAAAATACACCCATGAATGAATTTATGTTCTAATGCTGCTTCTACTCTGATGTTTTATGACTTTTATGTTTCTTTATGCGTTGCCTACACCTATTCTACATCATAATAATTACCTATCATTAAAGAAATCCCGAATTGATACAATCAATCGTTATTCGTTATTCCCGACACATTTACAAATTCAAAATATTGAATTTCATCCATTCCGTCAAATATAATTATAAACATTCAAATCGTAATTTTGAAGTCAATAGTCATAAACACGAACACATAACCAGACAAAAAGATATGTTAACTCTCATCAGAATTAAATCAGATATGGGTGAAAGATCTATTTTATACAGTGGAACAATTCTCTATAATGAATTACCTGCCAGACTGAAGAAAAAACTAAGTGTTGAGAAATTCAAAAAAGAACTGAAAAAATACTTATGTCCTTGACTCTCTTATATCATCCTGAATCAATTCAAGAACTTATATCCAAAAGTCTCTAGAAGAAACAACATTATATGTACTATGTATATGATTTAAAAATGATTATCTGATTATCTGATTTTTTTTTCAGTTGCTCTTTCATAATATTCCTTGCTATAAACATGAATGTTTCTTTGGAATAATAGCGATTATTATTATTTAAAAATCATCGTGAATATATTTTTTCAATAATGAAATTCAACAGCTTTGAAAAACGCCAACTTCGATCACGTCATAAACCGAACCAAAAGGCATTGTTATCTGAATTATGGCTTTTGCATAAAAAGTGGGACCACATATTTTGAGGCCGTCAGATTTGATATGACCAATGACAGTATTCAGATTCACAGAAGACAATATTTATATACTCGCAAGATGCTTCAGTAGGTGAAAATATCCTAGTATTCCTGATAATGATCGAGATTTTAATAAAACCCAAATTATTTCGTGGTCCTGGCAACAGCGTAATAATAATATAAGTTTATTCAAAAACGTCAGTCCTATTTCGAATTTGCTAAATATCCTCATGAGAACAATCCAGACAAAAATTCTGTTCAGTAAGTGGCGGTGTCTATGAAGAACAAGGTGAACTACTTTTTGTTGAGTAGCAAAGGGTAGAGATTGATATTGCCAAATATATTCCAAGTTTATTTCCACACAATTTTATTCAGGCAGGAATGTCGCACAAGGGCCGGATCAACATATTTTTATTATTTAAAAGTCAGAATATCAAAGTCAGTGATTTTCCTACTTCATAAAATTGCAGCATATAATAGTATGATACACAGGCTAGTGAATGTCCCTCTTTCGGAAGTAAATTTCAATAAAGAACTCAATATCATAAAACAGATAGCAGTCAACAACGGATACAACGTTAATTTGATAGACAGTATTCTTTCTAACTAACTTCATAATAAAGCTATTCAAGAAGTTTATCCTACCATCAAGAATAATAATCAAAATTATAGAACTCTAACCTATTTCGGATCATCAACTGAAAAATTAGCTTCATTTCTACATAAACAGGACTCAAAAGTGGCATATAGAACAAATAACACGTTGGGACGGTTTATCAAGGATAATAAAGACAAAACTTCAAAATTCGAAAAATCAGGGGTATACAAACTCAACTGTGGATCTTGTCCTAAGGTATATATCGGTCAGACAGGTCGTACGTTTAATCAGCTCATTCATGAACATAATATGAATTTTATGAAAAAGAAAACAAATTCAACATACGCCAACCATATATTAGAAGAAAACCATAGTTTTGATGATAATTTCGAAATTCTACACGTAGAAAATAAATGAATGACACTAGAATCATTTTGAATCAATAGCAATCAACAAACTAAAAAATTCTGACATTTTTCTTAATGAACAATTAGACCTCAATAGTTCACCACTGTTGAATTTGTTTTCTTAGTAAGCAATAATATGTATTTGCTATCAACTCTTTCAAGTTAATCCGGTATATCGTATTTTGATGTAGATATTGTGCCTAATTTCCGAAAATGGAGGTTTATTGTACCTGTCCACAGGTAACTAATCCTTCAGGTTGGGAAAGTAGGATATATAAAAATTAAGCAAGCCAACGTTAGTTTAGTTCATTGTAGCAGTATATCACCTGACGAAGCTACTGTGTTAGCAAAACATGTCGTGTGTTTGAGAATTTTGTGGAAATCTTATCGTTCGTGAAGTTTTTACATATTCCTAAAAAGTTCAGCAACTTGCAGATTCCTAGAGTATAGACAAATCGGCCATATTCTATGAACCAGCCAAGAACAAGCCAAGGGCAAATTTGGCTTCAACATTTTACATGGAGATAGATCATCTTATTATTGTAAATAATCAAGGGTTTTTTGCTCCCCGTATATCATCTAAAAGCACCATGAAAGCAGTATTGCTTCGAGTATCACTCACCGATACTATTTTCGGCGAATCTCTTGTATAGAAGGAAATTCAGTGCGCCTTCATTTCTTCTCTTGTTCAAATTCGGCGTCAGTTCGGCGGGTAATTTGAACGTCTTGACTAGCCTAGTGACCAATTTCTTCCAAGGTTTCGCATGCATTTTGTCGAATTTCACATCCGGGATACCATGTTTCCTAAAAAGAAATTGTGAACTCCATGGTAACCATATACTACTGCTAATGACGGATATATCCGTCTCTGAATAATTAATAAACATTTCGATCAATATGGAAGTACCTACGAAGGATATTCACGAAAAAACACAAAATTTATATCAAAAAAGTATTGACGTCTTTTGAAGTCCCCAGCCCTCCAAGATAAAACGTTTTTTGGAAGTAAATGACGCTCAGAACGTGAAAGAGGAGTCATAGACATACATATGACAGGTCAGAACAACTTGACGCTAGTTAAGGATATAAACTGCTCATGACGGATATATCCGCCTCCGAAATAAACAGCATTTTGGTCAATATGGACGTGCATACAATGTTTTTTCCCGATTAAATACGAAACTAACACCAAAAAAGTATTGACGCCTTATGACGTCATCAACCCCCACACAATATTACATTTCATGGATGGTAAATGACGTTCAGAGCATAATTGAACAGTCATTTGAACATGTTTCAAACATACAGATGGCAGGTTAGAACAGCATAACACTACTTAAAAGTCTCAACTGCTCATGACAGGTATTTTCGCCCTCACGATATCAAATTTTATTGAAGATGAATGATGTTCAGAGTTATTCATTTACATACATACAAACGGCATGACACTTCTAAGACTGCTCATGACGGATATATACGCCCCCGAAATAATGAACATTTTGGTTGTCAATTATTCTCGGAAAAACAGTCAACTAATGTCAAAAGGCATTGAAATATTTTGACGTCATTTGCCCCCTCCCCTCATGATAATACATTTCATATAGTTATTCGAACGTGTAACATAGATACAGATGGCAGGACAGAACAGCCTGATGCTTCAACATTTTGGTCAATATGGACGTGCATAAAATGAATTTTCCCGAAAAAATACGAAACTGACGTAATTATAGTATTGACGTCTTTTGACGTCATCAGCTCTCCCACAATATAAGGCTCCAATTAACGAATAATTGAATCAATGAATCTCAAAAAAGCACTGACGTCATTTAGCGTCACTAGCCCCATAAGATAAAATAGTCAATTATGGAAAATTACGTCCAAAGCATGATTCATTAGTAAATTACTTGACAACATGACATGCCTACTACGTTTATAAAGTTTGCTACTCAAAGTTCCTGATTGCTCACGACGGATATATCCGCCTCCGAAATAATGACAGTTTTCATCAATTTAGAGATGCTCAAAAGTATTATTCACTAGTAGGCACAAAACTTATGTGAGGAGAGCATCGACGACTCTAGACGTCATGAGCCCCTCGCGATAAAACAAGATTTTATTGAAGGTAAATAACGGCCATGGCATGATTTTTGGGCAACTCCGGGAGGATGACGTATTTCGACGTCATCCAAACTTTGTCCTTACAAGGCATATTCCTCCATGGTTTCTCTGACGGACGGATAACCCAACACGTCGTCCAAGAACGCCACCAGATCCATCTGGTGGCGGGGATTGTCTTTCAAACAGTCATCGACACCGTACAGCTTGTCCTGCAATACTAACGGTACCAGAAAATCCTCAATGGAGAATTCTTGTCTGACGTTCAACAGCGTAGCATATTGGCACGCCTGTAAAAAAATCAAACGGAAAGTTTTGTGAACGAAGCAAACATTAATTCCTGTCAATAATCAGTCAAAAGTGTAAACTCACCTCTTTGTACTGCTTCTTTTGTATCATACACCTAATTACATCTAAAAATATATCACGGTGTAGAGCCATTTCGTATACGTCGACGACGATCTTGACCAACGAGTGACTGCTCTGCTTCAAAGTAACTTTGAAGGCGTCGACTTTCGTTTGGACAGTCAAAAGATGGACGATGCGATTCCGGCATTCTCTACTCCAAGTCCTGAACTCCTCAATGACGAACATCGGCATAGATTTAGCCTTGGCGTTGTGGAACTCTTGACAATTGTAGAGCAAGCGTAGGGTTTGCACGTACGGGTTTTCACAGTTTTTGAAGTATGTGTGCAATTTGTTGACCACAGGTGGGCTTCTTTTCACTGAAAGAGAACAGTGGAGTCTGAGAATGAGATTGGCCACGTAGAAGTCCTGATTTGACACTAACAGATTTTTATGGAGCCATTTGAGAAATAGTGAAAAAAATTATGGGATATTTTCGAGAGAAGTCGATTGATTACGAACATCGGTAAAGATTTGGCTTGAGCGTTGTGGAACTCTTGACAATTGCAGAGCAAGCGTAGGGTTCACACGTACGTGGTTTCACAGTAGATGTGCGATTTGTTGACCACAGGTAGACTTATTTTCACTGAAAGAGAATAGTGGAGTCTGAGAATGAGATTGGCCACGTAGAAGTCCTGATTTGACACTAACAGATTTTTATGGAGCCATTTGGGAAATAGTGAAAAAAATTATGGGATATTTTCGATAGAAGTCGATTGATTACGAACATCGGTAGAGATTTGGCTTCCGAGTTGTGGAACTCTTGAAAATTGCAGAGCAAGCGTAGGGTTCACACGTACGTGGTTTCACAGTAGATGTGCGATTTGTTGACCACAGGTAGACTTCTTTTCACTGAGAGAGAATAGTGGAGTCTGAGAATGAGATTGGCCACGTAGAAGTCCTGATTTGAAACTAACAGATTCTTATGGAGCCATTTGAGAAAAAGTGAAAAAAATTATGGGATATTTTCGATAGAAGTCGATTGATTACGAACATCGGTAGAGATTTGGCTTCCGAGTTGTGGAACTCTTGAAAATTGCAGAGCAAGCGTAGGGTTCACACGTACGTGGTTTCACAGTAGATGTGCGATTTGTTGACCACAGGTAGACTTATTTTCACTGAAAGAGAATAGTGGAGTCTGAGAATGAGATTGGCCACGTAGAAGTCCTGATTTGAAACTAACAGATTCTTATGGAGCCATTTGGGAAATAGTGAAAAAAATTATGGGATATTTTCGATAGAAGTCGATTGATTACGAACATCGGTAGAGATTTGGCTTCCGAGTTGTGGAACTCTTGAAAATTGCAGAGCAAGCGTAGGGTTCACACGTACGTGGTTTCACAGTAGATGTGCGATTTGTTGACCACAGGTAGACTTCTTTTCACTGAGAGAGAATAGTGGAGTCTGAGAATGAGATTGGCCACGTAGAAGTCCTGATTTGAAACTAACAGATTCTTATGGAGCCATTTGAGAAAAAGTGAAAAAAATTATGGGATATTTTCGATAGAAGTCGATTGATTACGAACATCGGTAGAGATTTGGCTTCCGAGTTGTGGAACTCTTGAAAATTGCAGAGCAAGCGTAGGGTTCACACGTACGTGGTTTCACAGTAGATGTGCGATTTGTTGACCACAGGTAGACTTATTTTCACTGAAAGAGAATAGTGGAGTCTGAGAATGAGATTGGCCACGTAGAAGTCCTGATTTGAAACTAACAGATTCTTATGGAGCCATTTGGGAAATAGTGAAAAAAATTATGGGATATTTTCGATAGAAGTCGATTGATTACGAACATCGGTAGAGATTTGGCTTCCGAGTTGTGGAACTCTTGAAAATTGCAGAGCAAGCGTAGGGTTCACACGTACGTGGTTTCACAGTAGATGTGCGATTTGTTGACCACAGGTAGACTTCTTTTCACTGAGAGAGAATAGTGGAGTCTGAGAATGAGATTGGCCACGTAGAAGTCCTGATTTGAAACTAACAGATTCTTATGGAGCCATTTGAGAAAAAGTGAAAAAAATTATGGGATATTTTCGATAGAAGTCGATTGATTACGAACATCGGTAGAGATTTGGCTTCCGAGTTGTGGAACTCTTGAAAATTGCAGAGCAAGCGTAGGGTTCACACGTACGTGGTTTCACAGTAGATGTGCGATTTGTTGACCACAGGTAGACTTATTTTCACTGAAAGAGAATAGTGGAGTCTGAGAATGAGATTGGCCACGTAGAAGTCCTGATTTGAAACTAACAGATTCTTATGGAGCCATTTGGGAAATAGTGAAAAAAATTATGGGATATTTTCGATAGAAGTCGATTGATTACGAACATCGGTAGAGATTTGGCTTCCGAGTTGTGGAACTCTTGAAAATTGCAGAGCAAGCGTAGGGTTCACACGTACGTGGTTTCACAGTAGATGTGCGATTTGTTGACCACAGGTAGACTTCTTTTCACTGAGAGAGAATAGTGGAGTCTGAGAATGAGATTGGCCACGTAGAAGTCCTGATTTGAAACTAACAGATTCTTATGGAGCCATTTGAGAAAAAGTGAAAAAAATTATGGGATATTTTCGATAGAAGTCGATTGATTACGAACATCGGTAGAGATTTGGCTTCCGAGTTGTGGAACTCTTGAAAATTGCAGAGCAAGCGTAGGGTTCACACGTACGTGGTTTCACAGTAGATGTGCGATTTGTTGACCACAGGTAGACTTATTTTCACTGAAAGAGAATAGTGGAGTCTGAGAATGAGATTGGCCACGTAGAAGTCCTGATTTGAAACTAACAGATTCTTATGGAGCCATTTGGGAAATAGTGAAAAAAATTATGGGATATTTTCGATAGAAGTCGATTGATTACGAACATCGGTAGAGATTTGGCTTCCGAGTTGTGGAACTCTTGAAAATTGCAGAGCAAGCGTAGGGTTCACACGTACGTGGTTTCACAGTAGATGTGCGATTTGTTGACCACAGGTAGACTTCTTTTCACTGAGAGAGAATAGTGGAGTCTGAGAATGAGATTGGCCACGTAGAAGTCCTGATTTGAAACTAACAGATTCTTATGGAGCCATTTGAGAAAAAGTGAAAAAAATTATGGGATATTTTCGATAGAAGTCGATTGATTACGAACATCGGTAGAGATTTGGCTTCCGAGTTGTGGAACTCTTGAAAATTGCAGAGCAAGCGTAGGGTTCACACGTACGTGGTTTCACAGTAGATGTGCGATTTGTTGACCACAGGTAGACTTATTTTCACTGAAAGAGAATAGTGGAGTCTGAGAATGAGATTGGCCACGTAGAAGTCCTGATTTGAAACTAACAGATTCTTATGGAGCCATTTGGGAAATAGTGAAAAAAATTATGGGATATTTTCGATAGAAGTCGATTGATTACGAACATCGGTAGAGATTTGGCTTCCGAGTTGTGGAACTCTTGAAAATTGCAGAGCAAGCGTAGGGTTCACACGTACGTGGTTTCACAGTAGATGTGCGATTTGTTGACCACAGGTAGACTTCTTTTCACTGAGAGAGAATAGTGGAGTCTGAGAATGAGATTGGCCACGTAGAAGTCCTGATTTGACACTAACAGATTTTTATGGAGCCATGTGAGCAATAGTGAAAAAATGATAATTATAGTACTCGTCCGCCATATTGGGTCCGCCATCTCGAATTTCCTAATTTTGATGAAAGAATCATAATCTCCGACCCCAAGAACCACCAGATAAAGTATATCCAATATCAATTGCAGAATATCCCGCACTGTGCGGCGTCGGCGTGTTTGAAGTTTTCTTTGAATTGACTGCAGGTGCGGCACAAGATTCTGCAATTGTTTTTGGATAAACTATACCAAATTTTAATAAAATCGGATCCTAATTACAAAATCTGCCATTTTGGATCCGCCATCTTGAATTTCTTAATTTTGATGAAGGAATCATAGTCCCCTATCACGAAAATCCCTAGGTACCAATTTTGAATAGAATAGACCATAATTACAAAACTCGTCCGATGTATTAGATCCGCCATCTTGAATTTACTAATGGTAGCGGGATAAAAAGTATCCTATAACCTTTTCCTGGTTCTAAGTTACCTCCCCACCAATTTTCAGCCAAATCGATCCAGTAGTTTCGGAGCCTTTTCAATACATACAAACAAAAAAACAATCAAATCTTTCCTCTTTATAACATTAGATTATAATTTTTTTTTCATGAAAAACAATAATTGTGTAATTATTATTGTTTTGATTTATTATGTTATATGTATGTTTTGTTGTATATATCCCTATTATAAACAATAATGTATTTTGGGGTAATAAAGACAATCAATCAATTTGACCATGACATAATCAAATACAGGGTCATAGACTGTAATCTTGGACAGGGTCATTTACATAGGTCCCACATTAGAAGGATTAAAAATTGAGAATGGGTATGCCATTCCAATCTACCTGAAATATTTTACTCCTGTAGCTATACAGGGTGTGCCAATAGTCAGCACCAATCTTCTTATTTTGAAGAAGAACCTACAGTTCAATTGGCTTTCTGATTCTGAGTTCAGACAGTCTTATTTATGTTAATTTATCTGATATTAGCTGGAAGTCCAGGCAAACACCACAGAACTCTGTGGCAAACACCTGATTTCCCATCAATGGTCTCATTTAGTACCATACCGGGTGGCTACGGAAGTATTGCCTACGGAATATCTCAGTTATTGTATGAAGTAGGTTTGTGAAATTTGGAGCGTCGATATAATGACATAAGAGCTAGAATTTGAGCATATTGACATGTCGAAGTTAACTTCCGGGCTGACCGGAAGTAACATCAACTTTCTTATTTTAAATGGAAACCCATTTTTTTTTTCTTTTCGCTTTATTCAGCATTCAATTCCCTTTCTAATGACATATCACAAGTTGGTATCTAACCAGAAACTAGATCAGAAAAAAATTATTATTGAAATTCACCGAGTAGGCCGTGGAAGCAAAATGAAAGCCAAAAATTGAAAAGTTGGCTATGGAAACCATACGTCACTTGATAACAGTTGCTACTACTGTGATATTTTATTTTCATTCGTCGGCGTTATAAAAAGCCTCCAAAAAAAATATTGGAAGAATTGGGAAAAAAAACAATACTCTGTAGGTCCATAACTCAAATAGGAACTACTATTCAGCATAACCATTCCTTTCTAATGACATAATAGAGAGTCATTTTTTGAAATGAAATACAAAAAAATCCAATTATTATTCTTCAAATAACAAAAAAGATTATCGCCATACACAAAAATAAAATTGAAAATAATAAATAGTTTCTGGGTAGATACCAACTTGTGATATGTCATTAGAAAGGGAATTGAATGATGAATAACGCGAAAAGAAAAAAAATAGGGTTTTCATTTAAAATAAGAAAGTTGATGTTACTTCCGGTCAGGCCGGAAGTTAACTTCGACATGTCAATATGCTCAAGTTCTAGCTCTTATGTCATTATATCGACGCTCCAAATTTCACAAACCTACTTCATACAATAACTGAGATATTCCCTAGGCAATACTTCCGTAGCCACCCGGTATATGTATAGGTGCGGGCGATTTTTCGAAAAGTCAACTTTGGAAGAAAAAAAAATGACCGTACCCAATATGGTGAACGCCTCCTGAGATAGTAGACTATTGTTTTCTTTAGAACCCTATTGATATGGATATAAAATGAAAGGGTTTGATGAGAAGAATTGTAGGAGCTATATGACATCATTGTAAATCCAATATGGTAGACATTTCAAGAAGGCAGATTATTTTTTTTCTCTTCACAACCACCTTTATATGGGTATCAAATGTATAATCTATGAACAGAATTTGCAGTCAGGAGCCTGTCATATGAAAAAAAGAGAATCAGATCATCATTGGGTGATCACAAGATATTGATGTCAAAGAGCAATATTTTTTTTCTGGAAATACAATTTTCTATATAAAAAGGCATTGAAAGTATTGTATCGTCTTCCATATGATACTCCAACGAATCAACTGTATAAGGAAACAAACACATTTTCTTTGGAAGAGCACTTTTTAATCAATACTCTCAAAATTTCCTATTATATCATCAACAAAAAGCTTAAATCAAATTTTATATTAATCAGGAATTCCGAAATTCATGGTAGGATTGAGGTAGGATTCTGATCATCACACTAGACAATATAACTTGTTTCATCATGAAGCTGCAAATTCTAAACTTGGGCAAAAAAAGGTTACACATGAGGCGATTTTGAAATTCAATAAATTACCAGATGATATCAAAAACAGCCCAAATATTATGCAATTCAAAAATAGAGTTAAGAAATATATTTATATGCAAAGGAATGATCAAAGCTGAAAAACTATGGATTTCCTTTTTTCTTTTTTTTTTCACTGTTTTTATTTTTCCCCTTCTTGTTCACTATAATATGACTGTATCTTAATGATATGTAAGTTTTGTTGACTATTTGTAATTTCAATTATACAACAGTCGATAATACTTCATGAATGATCTTATACCAGGAATTAGTGTCTGATCATTCATGTCATTCCTACTGGAAAATTAATTATACTTTATATATTATTTCTATGAAATGTATCAATGAAGAAGAGAATGTAATGCAATAACTGAAATAAATAAATGAACAAATAAGAACAAAGAAAAAAGAAAGTTGAAGATGAGTAATAATACAGTTGAATATCCATTCATTTCAACAATAATAAAAACTTTCTTCTCCAACAATGAAAGTAACCTGCAGGTCATTCAAACCCAGTGCATCCAAAGACACCCTACAGAGACTTCAAGTCACAAATTTCCAGTAAACATGGTGGAATGCATCACCAACATTGCAAAAATGCCAAGAAATTGAGAAATTGATCAATCTTGAACACTTTCCTTCTTGTTTTTTTACTCACATCAAACAATAATTCACATAAATATGATTATATTTTATTATTTCAATCAATGAAATGAAATACAATAGATTTCAAAGTATTACAGGCTGATGGCCAATTGTATAACCAATAAAGCACTTTTATTATTATTATTATTTAAAAACTTTCATCATATTGAATACAGGTCAATATATTTTTTTTGCAAATTTTCTAGGTAGTAATTTTCTTTCAATGTAGTTATGAAAATTCATTTGAATATGTGAATGCATGGAAATTTCAAATTCCTTAATAATGAAACAGACATAAGCAGTCATATTGCCTGTTTCAATTTCAATAGACAATTATTGATATTTATTTCATCTAGATTAGAGGAACTTTGAATCCCTGCATTAGTTTAATTTGAAGCACAGTTCACAAGCATCCACTGGGCATATCAAGGTATCCACAGCTAGTTCTAGTGAATAACCTAATGCTCAATTACTACTCCTACTGCATACTCACACATGTTCCACATGCTTTTCAATTCAGACAGAAATGCTTGGCTCTGTTCATCTAAATCTAAATTAATACTTATGTCTGAACAACAGCTTTTATTGTCATGCTTTGATATGTTGGGCTTGGCCATAGCAGGGTACTGCCTGACTGGCGGGGACCTCATGTTTGGTTGTCTCTCATAGTATCTCCCAGTAGCACTCCGATTGGGGTAAGCCCTGCCTCTACCTCTAGCTTTTCCTGGTTGGTAGGACATGCTTAAATCTTGAACAGAAAAGGTCCGTTGATCTGGAAAGACACTGAAATATTATTGGGTGGCATTGTTTTCTAGAAACAGGTAATTTTTAGAGAATATTTTGAGAATGTCAGGAAAGTGAAAGGGTGACAGATGGATGGATAACCTATTTTGTACTCACGTATCACGGGATAGTGGTAGTAGAATGTGAGCTATATCATTTGGAGCCTTCAGACGAGTTATTAGGAGTTATTCAAACCTTCAAAATGAATTAATTTTACATTTAATGCTTGTTCAAAGTTGTATTATGATTTATATTTATTTTCCCAATATTCATACGTCAATTCGTCAATAAGGAATAGAATGGCATGTTGAAGCTGTGTTGCCAGAAGAAAAAACTACTTGTACTAATATCAGTATTGAATTGTACTAAACCCAAGTGAAATGTACCAGACATGAGATTTTTCAAAAAAGTCGAGAAATTGATGAATATTTTTTTTTTATTTTTCATTGTCATCAATGACATCATACATAAAAAAATAGAAAACAAATAATACAATAGAAGAAATGGTCTATCAGAAGTATCAGGTACATAACCAATAAAATATACAGTGTCATCCATAAAAATTGACTACATTATATACAGAGTGTGTACCCGATTTTCATGACTACACCTTACATAATGTATCTCAGTTATTAATGATGCGATTTCTTGAGATTCTGGTGGTTATTGTATATTATAACAATGAAACGAATTTAGCAGAGTGAGAGCATATCAGTTTCATTCACCATATTGGCGTATCGTGTGATGTTGAAAGTAAAAATAAAATGGCCTTTATTTGCAAAAAGGATAATAGGGCCCGTTTCAGATAATTGTGTCCATCAGACTCAAATTTAGCAGCCCAAAAACCCCCCAATTCATGTTTTCAAAACCCTAACAGCTAAAAAATATATTTCAAAATCCCACTTTTCATGACCACAATATTATTGATGCGATATTAGCCAAAAAGATACGAAATATATACATCAGCATCATTCATAAAAAGATGCGACTGTATGTACATCGAATATTAAACAAACAACAGAAAACAGTATAGGTACATCAGTTAAAATTTATCGGTGTCATGAGTCTCTCCATTCAACTCAATGTAGATGTTGACATTGAGTTCATTGAGTCTCTCATTATGTTCAGCTATTTGGTTGGCTAATAGCTATAGCAAGAACTGAAGAGATAATAAGAATAAGTTCTGCGAGTAGTGCCAGTAATTCTATGTTTCTTCCTAGCTTTGTGTGAGGAATGTTCAGATACTAAAATTTAAGCTGAATTTGCTGACCAAAACATGAAATTGTACCAGAATCGGGTGAAATGTAGTAATGTACCACGAATGTACTAAAGGGTATAAACTGTTTTGAATCTATACAAATGTACCACCTCTGGCAACACTGTCTTGAACTATGTCACCGTCACATGTCAAATCTTCTTCTATTTTTTTTGGGTCGCTTTTTGCCTTAGATCATACAATCATCATCATACACTACTTTTCCGCTAGGACTACAGGAACTTTTTGCTTTGTTTTTGTTCAAAGAAAAGATGTTAAATTGACAGTTTGACACAATACTAACCTTAAAAAAAACTCCGAAAGTGAAAAAGTGGAAACGTCAACGGGTAAACAAGTTTATTTATTAGTCATCCAGGTCGGCAGTCATCCGATACTGATTCATACATCGGCAAAAATCGTATAATATCATCAAAAATAGCCTGGTGCGGTTCCAGAATTCACAACAACCCATCCGAACCAGATACGTCGAAGCATGAGCGTGAACGGATTCTCGGCTATCGTCGATGGCCCTTTGGCCCAGTATCTCCAGATTTCCGCGAAAATTGGCGGAGATGTCGGCGAGCACTCGAAAATGGTCCGGGAGGCTTTTGGGGCCCAGTTGCAGTACGTCCGGCTAGCCAGCGAATCGGCTCAACCCGCCCAAAACCAACTTGGGGGCCTCCTCAAGCCCACCAGCGACAAAATCAGCGAGATCCAGAGCTATCGTGAGAAGCACCGCACTTCGCAGTACTTCAACCATCTCTCAGCTATCAGTGAGAGCATCCCTGCATTGGGATGGGTCACAGTGAGCCCAGCTCCTTCACCTTATGTGAAGGAGATGAACGATGCAGGGCAGTTTTATACGAATAGGGTGCTGAAGGACTGGAAGGAAAAGGATAAGAATCATGTGGAATGGGTTAAGGCCTGGGTTCAGACATTGAGCGAGCTGCAGGCTTATGTCAAGCAGTATCATACTACTGGGTTGGTCTGGTCAGGTAAGAGATAGGTATATTTGTTCTAGATAATGCAATAACCTTCAAGCTGATGATGGTGTTGCATTCATTCAATGATTTGATGCAGTTTCAGTAACAATCATTGTTGAAATAACCATCATGGATGGATTAGGAAGAAAATGTTTATATCAAACTATTTTCCTTGACAACTAATCAACATATTTTGATTCCTATTATGAATAAACCTGTTAAGTACCAAGTATCTATGTAATAATTGCAAGTTACAGGAAATGTATCCCATGTATAATAATTTATAACCAAAAAAAAACATTTCAAATCTTCTCATCATTCTACTACAACTACAGTATTTGGAACTTCCTTGATAACTTCTAGCTTCTGATGAACTTGAAAATAAAAAAATAATATGGAAATATGCCATTGAAGAGTGAATACACTATATTTCCAATGTCACATTGACTTCCTAGATGACATCCTCAGTAACATATGTCACATGTAACTGATTTTTGATAGTTTATTGTACATTTTCCTAAATACAACACCAAAATTGATAATATCTGTGAAAAAAGGCATTGGATTCATTTAGTATTGCCTTTTGGAAATGGCAAGCCACAGTTCTTGACACCAAGTAATATTGAAGGTAAATCAAATGAGTACACATTTTTTTTTAATCAAAATGGCATACTAATTTCCACCATATCTTAACATGATATAAAATACATATAAACCCATAGACATATGAAAATGTCTATGTATAAACCCATTTGAGAAAATGAGAAGTAAGGAAAAGAATAAATAAGACAATAATATAATTCTAATAATATTTCAACTACAAAGTAGCCAAAATGCACAAAGTGGAGTGATTAGTAGGTACCAGTTGTTGTAAAAACTAAGATATAATGAGGAATGAGTAATTATCTACAGGAAGTTGATGAAATGTGTAACTGTTACTTTATCACAGGAACTGTGGTTTATGACCATGATTTGGAAAACATATAAAAAATAACACAAAATTCCTATAGCATTATTTACCTATAATTTTGTTGAGTCATCTATCAGAAACCATCAAGCTATATAAGGTAGAACCATGATTTCAAAATGAATGAAAATAAAATATTATGCTGATGATAAAAAATGAAAATGATGAATATCTGTCCCTGATAAAAACAGTTCCACTCATGATTCATGATTCTATGGAACATTTTGAAGAACATTTATTTATCAGATGAGTGAGTAAACACTCAATGCCATTGGCTGGGCCACTGGTGAACAGGTAACCAGAAATACATACATGAATAATTTCAAAGTTATTCAAGCAATTATCAATTCTTTTGATGATGTATAGTGAGTCATGATAAATGTCTATGTAATTTCATATGAATTGAAACAGTGATTTAATTTGTGAGTATTTAAAAAGTCAGGTTAGGTTTGGTTAATCAGTTGGCAAGCTAACTAGGAGTGGATGAGCAGGAAAACTAAATTGCCCTATGAATAATCCCATTCAATAAGTATCTAATGAGGTACCTATGTTTATTTTGCAAAAATAGTATGTTTTGGTTTGTTATATAATATACTCTTGTTTTTTGTCTTATGTACAGTGTGTCCCACTTTGAGGCTTGAGCAGTTCCACCATTGTTTTTGCTGACCTATTCATATTACAAAATTTCTGAAAGAAAAAATTAAATCTGTCAGATAATAAGAAAATACAAGGATGATGTTGCTCAAAGTGGGACACACTGTACAGGGTGATTGTTTATGTTTTACTCAATCGCTCTCAGTTAATGTTGATTCTACATATTCTACAAAAACATTCAAATGAGTAAATATTAGGGATCGACTGATATAGAAATTTTAGCCGATACCGATATTTCAAATACCGATATACTGATATATTGGTCTATCGGCCGTTAACAAGTTTTCTCTGAAGCTGGTAATATTTATGATGCAAAACGTAGCAGGCTAACTCCTGATAGGGCAGAAAGCTTATTGTTTTTGCATCACAACCTACCAAAACTAAATTATCAGTATTAATCAGTTATTTTTATATTTTAGTGAGGTGAAATAATTTTACCTTACATTTGCAATCCGCATAGGGTGTTATTTTATTAATTTTTAATTACTAGTCAAAGAATTTAGTTGATTTGACGTTACATACTTTTTATTGGTAATAAAGATATATTTTTGATGGAAGTGTATTTTTTTCATTCATTTTTCAAATTGATTTTTTTTTCAATAAAAAAATATATCGGTTTATTGGTTTTTGATATCGGCCGATACGATAATCGGCCAATGAGGCCGATATAAATATCGGTATCGGTCGATCCCTAGTAAATATGAATTTTTTATGAGCATTCAGAATGTTCTACTAGGAAATGCAAAAAAGCATTGTAATCCTGAAAATTTCACATTACCTGGTAATATTTCAATGGAACACCCTGTATTTCATTTTCCTAAACAGTAGAGCTCTTCCTTCTGATTTCAAATATAAAGTGTGACCCACTTCTAGTGGAAACACCCCTGTATCTTATGAATTCGTTGGGTGAGGATCCTGAATTTTTTAATGATAATTGATCGCAACATTTTCCTTTTTTTATATGAGTATTTTTATTTAATCACGTTTACTCTTAAATAAAAGCAAAAAACGAGAAAATATTTCAAATGATGCGAGCGCTTCCCATTAGCGAACATAAGATAGAGAGAGATAGGTATCCATAAACACTGCGGGTTGCCTGAACAATATTTTTGCCTCACTCGTCGTTCACAGAGGATCCCTTTCAGTTGTTTATATTGAGTTCATTGGTCGAAAGTAGGAAAAAAGTTGAGAGAAAAATAGGAAACTATACCGATCCAGATTAATTAGGGTAATCACACAGAGTTTTCATTTCTTGATTTGGTCAACCAAACCAATTCCCTTCCCTTAGGTAAGGGGGCAGCAAAGGGGGCCGCCCCGCCGCCGCCGCCCGGCTGCCCGCCTCCCCCTCCGCCCGTCGTCGACTTCGACCTGGGCGGCGCTGGAGACGCCTCCCTGGACCGGTCGGCGCTATTCGAGCAGATCAACCGCGGCCAGGACATCACGAGAACTCTCAAGAAGGTATTTATATGTACTAGATAGATAGATAAATAGATAAACTTTATTTTCTTTTTGACAATTACATTTCAAATTGTATAGGAATCGTAAAAAACTGTTTTTTTTTTAATTACTCGCGTATTTAATAAGATATTAATCTCAAAATTGGTACATTACTTCAGCACAAAGAGTTACATCGTGTGAGGAAAACAAAACGGAAAATAACTGTCAAATATTCAAAATACTGGGGGTCATACACACTTACCCCCATATTTTTTTTGTACGTGCGCTAATGACTTCCTTTCTATTTTTCTTCAAGTGTTCAATCATTTTCGAGTATTTTTTGTCTCCTGTGAAATTTCGATGAAATTATTTGTTTTTAAGATGATTTGAAAAGTACTGGTTATTGTTTGATGCCTATGCGGCTTACGGTAATCTCATAATGTTCACATACTCCTATTTATTTCGTCGAAATTGGAAGAGGGTGTAACTTTTTACGTACGAAAAGGTAAATATGGAAATACCGGGTGCTCAGAGCGAATGTATTGAAATATTTACAAAAAAAAATAGAAATTCAACACGTTATATTTAATTTCCAACTTTGACACCCTGTATATCGAATATGAAGGGATAAAATGAAAAATGGTATTAAGAAACTCATATTGTTTTTGTTCAAGGAATATTAGGTTAATGGATTGACCTCCTTTTAGCGGACACCCTGTATGTACTATACAGTAGACTTCCTAAATGTACTTGACACTGCTGTTTTGACCTTTTCTCGTATATTGGAGTACGGACACTAGACAAGCAGAGACAATCAAACATAACCACAAACGATTTTGAAGCAAATCATATGTTTTGCCAGACAAGGACAAGAATATGTTTTTCGCTTAGATAAAGGATCCTCGCATCTTCCGTCCTCCACAAGTCCTGGGAATAGTGCATCCATATATCTTTCTCTGTCTTTGATTTTTGTATAAGAGTGCATAGCGTCTCCTCGAATGGGTAAAAGGGTATGATAAATTGATTAAAAAATTATTTCTTCTCGAAATATTGAATGATAAGACTGAAGGACCTCAATGGAGGTCGATATCAAGTTGGTATGTACATATATACCAACGAACTACATAAACTATTGAAGAGGAACATTCTCAGATATATTTATGAACACGAAAAATGGATATATACAGAGTGGACCTTTGAAAACGAGACAGAGGCTCTGTAGGTCGCCAAAACCGGATTATGAAAAAATTCTGAAACACGTCAACTACATTTCCGAGGGAGACATTGGTCTTGAATATTTTCAGCCCTGCGGCGTTGCCGCTTCTAACGAAAAGAAGCAACAACTTTGTTATTTCAAATGGAACACCTTGTATTTTATTTTATTGCATTTTAAGATTCTCCCCGAAGAGCTGATTTCATCAATGCATCACACTTGGGGTCTAGCTGTAATGGTTTCAGGGATATAAAGTGTTCAAAATCGAGATTTTTCAACTTGAGCATTTTTTTTGTGTTGAAACTATTCATTATTGGTCAAAAAGGCTTTCATGTCCCTATCTCAACTTGTGATTCACTATCTATCAGTTTATAAATTGTGGGTTCGACTCTTTCTCTCAATACCATCCTATTCACTAACATCAAATCTTCCGTTCTGAAGTGTACCTGATAAAAATGCGCTAAAAAATGTTTTATATCCTACCTCGCAAATTTTGTGGCCTGAACCTATATTCCATGCCGGCCGCATCATATTCTGTTTCCATTTTTGTAGAATTACGTTATCCGATGGTAATTCCGAATAGAGTGAATTGATTTCCCGTGTTCTCCTATTCGGAAACTGCACAAACTTGCATCTTTCTCCTAATTCTCTCAAATTGTCAAACCTTTGGAATTTATGTCATGTACGTCGGTGTACTGTCAGTTCCCGCTTTTTCCATCAATTTATTTGTGGTTATGTCTGATTGTCAGTGCTTGTCATAGTGACCGTACTCTAATATACAAAAAAACGTCAAAACAGCAGTGTCAAGTACATTTAGGAACTCTAGGTTTTGGTAGGGTTTTGGTAAGGGCCAGTTGGATGCTTGTCGCGTGTGATTTATCATTAACTTTTGATGACGATGGTTATCCAAAAGTTCATGTGATTTTCTCCCTGTCAGGTCACCTCCGACATGCAGACACACAAGAACCCGACGCTACGCCAGGGTCCGGCGCCGTTCAAGCCGGCGCCGACGACCGGCGCCGGCAGGGGAACGGCCGCCCCCGTTGTAGACCGCCCGCCGGTGTTCACCCGGGACGGCAAAAAGTGGCTGATCGAGCACCAGAAGGGCAGGCAGGATCTGGTGGTGGAGGGGGCCGAGATGAACAACGTCGTCTATCTGTTCAAGTGCGAGAATACCACGGTCAGTACTTTAGAATGAATAGCAATGGGTTGCGTGCAAGAACTGTCAGATGACGGACCCTGGAGGTAAAACATTGAAACACAACCCCACTCTTCTTATTATTTCATGTCCAGTACACAGCTTCGCGGATGATAGTACCCTCCATACCGCCTTCTCTTCCAGGGCTCCAATACCAGCCAGGCAAATCAGAAACGAACTAGGGAGAAATGTTGACAACATAAATATGGACTTGGCAACAATTCTCGAATGGGGATCCAATAACTTGGTAGATTTCAATGCAAACAAAACACAAGCATGCCTTTTCTCTAGAAAAGCCGATTTCACTGTACCCAACTAAGGTTATCAAGAGTAACCATACCATTGAAAACATCAATTTCGGTACTTGGTATTACTATCAGCAATAACCTTTCTTGAGAAAATCACGCGAGATCAATTGCTAAAAAAAGTGCATCCCAAAAACTTGGTTTTCTGCTTCGGTCCAGGAGCTATTTCACTTCCAGTCAGCTGCTTATGATCTATAAGCCACAGATCCGATCTGTCCTGGAATACTGTTCCCATATTTGGAGTGCAGCACCCAAACATACCCTGAAACTGTTGGATTCTGTCCAAAAAAGGGCAATTTGTCTAGTGGGTGATGATTCGCTCACAAACTCACTCACTTCTCTGGAACATCGTAGAAAAGTTGGCGATCTGGTCAATCCTTTGATTCCTTTCTAAACAAAAAGTGAGGTTGTGTTGCAATGTTTTACAGAAGAGTGAGGTTACCTCCAGGGTCGCCCATCGTACACGCGACCTATAGATAGACAACGGAATTCTTTCATAAATTATAATAGATATCATCAAATACTTTGATGAATCTTCAATAAATATCGGATTCAACCCCAACTTGAAGGTTTATTATATTCATTATATTATTTACATCTTTCTATAGCAACATAACATATCAAAAGTAAAAGATAAAATGATACAATATCCCAGTATCCTACATAAATTATTGAAAAGTGTATTCCTACAATTCTTGTCAGGAGTAGTCAGGATATAGACATTTGTTGTCAGAATCTCAGTTCGTTTAAACAGATTGAAAATTCATATATTTTTCATTTTACTTCAATATACAGTGACCCACTTCTAATGGAAACACCAATGTTTCTTACGTAATCGTTGGATAAGGTTCCTGAAATTTGCTGAAGCGAGAGATATACCAAAAATGCACTGTATTAGCCATGTAACCACCCCAATTTCCGGAAAATGCTATTAGGAGTCAAAATAGATTGAAAATCACTTCGGATTCGGAATCAGGACGCCCAATTCACTAACTATTCATAGTTTTCCTAGAAAATTGTCAGTTCAGAAATATTAAATTTTGTCTCACTTCTCATGGACGCACCCCGGTATATCACATAATTATTGAGGTAGGGCTCTGAAATTTGCAGAAGGAAGGGAAAGTCCAAAAATAAAGTCAATTACGTAAGATACGGGGGTGCTCATTCCTTATTAAAATTACTTCTGCCACTTCTGCAATACAAGCTAATACTGCTAATAGATTGAAAATGTCTACAACACACACGATCATATTTCGTCAGCATGTCAGACCAGTCCTCTCGTTTGATTGCATGAATCCAATCTTCTTGTATTATTTTAGAAATTTCATGTGAATTTCTATTAGCTCCTATCGCATAAGGAATTTCGATGAGAAATCAGAGAAAATACCAAATTTCAAAAATGAAAACAATATGTGAGTGACTATAGTAGGTACTTACTTTTAAATCAGAATGTACCAACAGGATTCCTTCGTCTTCTGCTGCAGTTTTTGTGCATTGTACAACAGCACAATGTGATGGCATGAACGAATTAATGAATAGGCGAAAAATACGATTCCTACGTCAGAACTGAAAAACTATTTCAATCACTTGTAAACAAATAAGAAAAGTGAGGTTGTGTTTCAATGTTGTTCCTCCAGGGTCGGTTCTCTGACAGTTCTTGTACGAGCTTTCTCAGTGTTTGAAATATTTACACTTATTTCAATGGCACCCTTGGTAGTGAAGGATATAATTACCATGGGACATTATACCCCTCGTCTGAAGGCTTGGGATATAATCTTGGTCCCTTGGTGATAATGATATTATTTACTACTTTTGCTACCTTTATTATCAGTTTTAGTAGCCTCGTAGCCTCCTTGGCTTCGAGCAATTTCTTTTTTTTTTTCAATTATGAAATATCATAAAACGAAGGTGATTGATGGACAGTTGGGAAACGTAAAAAAAAATAAGTGAAAATAAAATGACTTCTCTTCAGGTGACGGTGAAAGGTAAGCTGAACTCGATCACTCTGGACTCGTGCAAGAAAACGTCGGTCGTCTTCGACAGTCTGGTATCTGTCGTCGAATTCATCAATTGCCAATCAGCGCAGATGCAGGTGCTCGGCAAAGTGCCCACCATCTCCATCGACAAGACGGACGGATGCCAAGTGTACCTCAGCAACGAGTCTTTGGATGTGGAGATCGTGAGGTCGGTACATTTCTTTATGAAATTTGCATGCTTTAGATATCATGAGATGGGTTTTTTTCGAAATTTTTTTTTGGTATTTACGTATTTTTGTCTGGGGATTTTTTATATTGTCAGGTAGTTTATTGAATTCAGTTAAGGCTGAATGAGTGAATCTTTTTTGTCCGATAATGGAGCTGGCGGCGTCAAGATGAAACAAGTTATATTGTCTTGTTTGATGATTATGAATTTCAGAATTCCGTATCAACATAAAATTCGACTTCAATTTTTTATTTATGATATTATATGATATTTTGAGAGTTTCAATTCTATATATTTCATCTAAAGAATACGTATTTGTTATTTCAAACAATTGATTGGTTGGTGTATCAAATGGGAGACGATACAATACTTTTAACGATTTTCTATATAATGTTGATATTTTATTGAAATTGTTCTTTGAACAAGTTCCCCAAACATTTATTAAATAGTTGATACGACTCAGTATATGAGAGTAGAGAATCATGTTTGCAATTTTAATATCAAGTTTGGGACATCTTCTCAATGCACCAATAATTGGAGATATTTTTTTATTACCGTTTCGCGTGTATCTCTGTCAACTAGAGTCCCTTGATGAAAATTCACGTTAAAGTCATCTTGACATGGTACGGACTGATCCTCGTCTCCTCTCACTCTAAAGTGTTTGTGAAACAGTTATATTGTTGTTGTTATTCTTTATTACCCCAAGAAACATATTTGTTTATAATAGGGATACATAAACATATGATATCTATATATATAAAACAATTAAAAAAAAACTAATTAACAAGTTATGTCAATATAACATAATAATTGAAATAAAACCATTCAAAGTATTCAAATGAGAATAAATTGCTCCGTTTATTGTGTCATGAGTATATATTTTTTCATATTGACTTTGAATCTTGTTTCATCATCAATATGTTTCAAATCATTAGGTAATGGTAATGAATTATATAAAATGATTCCGTTGTAGAATACTGATTGTTTGCCAATGATGGAGTTATATGGGTTTGCTATTAATGAATTCATCTGTCTCGTTGCATGAGTATGAATTGTATTTACTTCAGTAAAGTTCAAGTTGGATATTTTTATTTTTTCCTTATTCTGGGGATATACACTAGATTTTTGACATTTGTTGGTTTTTAGGTTATATTGAGGTCATTGGCGTATCATACGTAATTTCCATATGGAATTCCTGATTCAACTATACCAAGATATAGTTGAACAATCCTCTAGTTTTAGAGTTCACTACTCCAGCATAATCTTTGCGAGGTAGGGAACATATAATTTGTACTAAAAGCTTAATATATTTCACCAAAAGAGACTGTTCTCAGACTGTATACCAGGGTTGACTGAATTGACTGAATGAATTCTGATTTCAAGCTGAGCAGTAGTTCAACTATGAGCTGAATGAGCTGAGACTTATGATTGAGAAATGGTGAAAACCTTGATGTGGGTATCTGAACTACTGTACTCATGTCATGTGTGCTAAATATATTTTCGGACATCCAACTCGGAGAAAAACTCATGGAGTGACTAATTCTAGGACGAAAAGTAGGCTTATAAAAAGTAATACGTGAAATTGCAGGAAAATGAAGAATACAATATACTTTACCCCCATGTTATACATATGATTTTTCCGTCTCCCTTAAATGAAAAGTCATTTCCAAATAATTTATTGATGAGAGTAACAAAGAAGTAGGTATACAGTATAACTTATGGGCACGTTATTTTCACTCTTGCATCCTATATATTTACAATTTGTGGTAGAGTAATAATAATTATATAAACTAATGTTAAAAGTGCAGTTTTGAGAAGTGGTTACTTGAATACCACTAAAAGTAAGATCTGGAGCCAATGCAGCTTTTGTGATATTTTTGCTATTTTGTGAGATTGCTGCACATACCCCTCAGCGATATTCGTAGACTTCCAAGCAAGAATGTCTCCTCCAGAATTTGCAAGTAAACTTGCCGAGGTTCTTCTGAAACTATGCCCGGTATAATTTATGACATCAGGCAGTTTTAAAAATTCTGCAATTTGATGACCAATGACCTACGACCTATGACCTATGACATATGACCGATGACTGATGTCAGTTGATGACCGATGACGTGTGACAGTTGACGTATGAGTGAAAAATGAATACATATACAGTGTGTTCTAGTTGAATGAATATCAGAAAAAACATATACAGAGCGACCTATAAAACCAGATCGAGGCAGATCAAATATCTTGAAATAAATGAAATATCGAAAAACATATATAGGGTGACCTAAAGAATCAGAGCCAGATCAAAATCTTATTGATGGAAATTGAAAATATGTACAGTGTGTTCGAGACGAATGAATATCGAAAAAAAACATATACAGAGCGATGACAGATGACATATGAGTGCGTTTGAGCTGAATGAATATTAGGAATATCATATACAGAGCGGGCTGAATTCCAGAGGCAGATCAAATATCTTGTACCAAATGGAATATTATAATTTATTACAGGGTGAGCAGAAAAACCAGCAACAGATTAAAATCTTATCGATGAATAGAAAAATACACAGTGTGTTTGAGACGAATGGATATTAGGAAAAAACATATACAGAGACCTACAAAACCAACCCAGAGCGCAATATTGTAGTCCAACATTGAAATCATTTTCCCAAATTTATTTATCTGTGAAGTTATTCCGTGAGTTTCAAAAATTGATTCAGCAACATTAAACCATAATGTAGGCTCATGTTTCCAGAAAGTTGGTAGATTAATTGATTCAATTGATTCTTGCTCTTTCTCGGAATATCCAGTTGATGTGTCTTCTGAGGAGATGATGTCATGAGGCATGATATTGTTTGGAAATGTTGAACTTTCACGATGTTTTTCCAAAATATCGAGTCTTGCTTCCAAGGAATCATATTTTTTATAATTTTCATCAAATTTGACGATCAGAATTTCGCACAATTCTTCAAGTCTTCTTCATGAAAATAGTATTAGAAAAATCATTTGGTATGATTCTTGATGAAATCTCTGAAAGAATGCTTCTGTAGTGGGCTTCGTGTAATTGGGCCTTATAAGTTGTTTTAATGTACTCTGTCAGCATTTCCTCCATATCCGAAAATTCCATCGAATCACTAACATGAATTTTGTAATGTCTTAAAATTTGTATAATCTCGCCTTCGCTCAACTGCTCCATAATATCACGACGGGGTCACCAAATTGTGGATACAATTAATACAGATTATTATAAGACTTTGAGTTGTAATTATATTATAAAAATGTCACATCAATGTCAGACTATCAAATCATAATATACCAAGTATATAATATAACTAGTCCCCATAAGTATACTCTGGTCAGTTCACTTTGTGAATCTTCTGTTCGGTTCGTATGGACTGGATGGTGTTCTCCGATTAAGTGGCAAGTATCAAATACTGCTTCTCTGATCTGCAACAGAACATCACATATCAATCGAAGTACATTCATATCAGAAAATAAATATCATTAGATGAATTAAATGGATGTTGAATCTGAGACATACCTGAATAATATATTTAACGTCCGTAACTGGATTGCTACATATCCGCTTTCTTTCCGAATAGTGTTTTTTCCAGTATTCATCTTCCACATGTTCAATTACGTGGGTTTTATTAAGGACCTTGGAGGCCAAATGATGTGCTGCTTGGATCTAAAACTAAGGATCTATTTCAAATTTGAATCGTGAGACCTACATAGAATATGAATCTATGAAACGTCTGAACATTGTTTTCAACATTCATAACTGGAACGCGATATATTCTTGTAATTCATCAATTCATCAAATATCTCAATGAAGACGAGACAGGCAGATAAACAACAATTTTCTCTGCAATGAAGAACACTGTATATACCTAACCCACCATGCGTCTACCTCCTTTGCAGAGAGGGTTTATAAACGCCGAGTTGATACTCTCCCCTCGTAAGGGTACCTGTCGTGTTTCCATAGAGACATAAAGGTGAATATCTGTCTTAGCTGTTTTCTTGAGAATCTGGAAAGGATATCAATATATCGCCTTCCGTACGAATATAATGATCTGAATTCTATAAAGTATACTCTGGTCAGTTCTCTTTGCGGATCTTCTGTTCGGTCCGTATTTATTGGATGGTTTTCTCCGATTGAGTGGCAGGTATCAAACACTGCTTCTTGGATCTGTAACTAAACATCACATTTAAATCGAAGTACATTTGAATCAGAAAATATCATTAGAGGGAAATACATCGATGTTGAATCTGAGACATACCTGAATAATATTTTCAACGTCCGTAACTAGATTGCTACATATCCGCTTTCTTTCCGTATAGTGGTTTTTCCAGTAGGCATCTTCCACATGTTCGATTACGTGGGTTATATCAAGGATCTTGAAGGCCAAACAATGTGCTGCTCAGATCTAAAACTAAGTATCAATTTCAAATTTGAATCTATGAAAAGTCTGGATATTGTTTTCAACATTCGTAACTGGAACGCGATATATTTTTGTAATTCATTCATCAACTATCTCAATGAAGACGAGGCAGGCAGATAAACAACAATTTTCTCTGTAATGAAGAACACTGTATATACCTAACCCACCATGCGCCTACCTCCTTTGCAGAGAGGGTTTATAAACGCCGAGTTGATACTCTCCCCTCGTAAGGATACCTGTCGTGTTTCCATAGAGACATAAAGCTGAATATCTGTCTATCTGTCTGCTTGAGACTCTGGAAAGGTAATCAATATATCGCCTTCCGTACGAATATAATGATCTGAATTCTGTAAAGTATACTCTGGTCAGTTCTCTTTGCGGATCTTCTGTTCGGTCCGTATTTACTGGATGGTTTTCTCCGATTGAGTGGCAGGTATCAAACACTGCTTCTTGGACCTGCAACTAAACATCACATTTAAATCGAAGTACATTTGAATCAGAAAATATCATTATAGAAAATACATAGATGTTGAATCTGAGACATACCTGAATAATATTTTCAACGTCCGTAACTAGATTGCTACATATCTGCTTTCTTTCCGTATAGTGGTTTT